TTAGGGTGATTGATGATTCACGAGCAATTTTTGTTACAATTTGTTTGCTCGTTATGCGAATTACTTGTTATGCGAGGTGCTCGTTAATCGAGATTCTACAGTACATATTAATATTTTTACTTATTAAATTCCTCAACGCAGAAATTAATTAATTTAAATTTAATTCGTGTAATATAAAACTTGCATATTAACTATCAACTTCGTACGGTTATCTTTTCTTGTTAGACTTGATTTTTGAGATTTCTTTATTCTATAAAAATTTGATGTCTTTCGGCTATTTAGAGTGATTGTCATCTTCCTGGTCGATGCCGTACAAGATTTTTTTTTAATATAAAATTATATGTCAGGGTTTTGCTATATAAGTCATGTGAATAAGAAAAGTGTTCATAGTATGGGGAAAAGTTGATAAAGATTAATATTTTGAAAACCCCTTCTTCATTTTTTCCTGTCTCGCATACTGTTGAGAATTTGCTGAGTTCGGCTGCAAGTGGTTAATTATATAATTTTTATTACATTTAGTTATGTATAATGTCTTTATTCTTGATTATGATTTAAAACATATTACAAATTTGGCTAAAGTTTTGCGGAAACTGTTCGAAAAGTTTTTTTAAAAACATTTTTTTTTTAAACATTATCAAGCAGAATTGTCGAATTTGGGGCAATGAAAATCCTAGAGTTATTAATGAAAATACGATGAACCCACAAGGACTCACGGTTTGGTGCGGATTATGGGCTGGAGGTGTAATTGTCTCAAAAAATGTGGGATCAATTGGTCGAAATGAGTCTCGAAGAAATGTGGTTTCAACAGGATGATACCACATGAGAAACCATCAATTTGTTAAGATAAACCACAAATAATTCCTGAAGTGAAAAAAGAGATCCAACGTGTTATTTCTGAAATTGAGTCAACTGCCTTGCAAAAAGTCTTATAAAATTTTATCAAAAGGGTCAGATTATGCCAGCACAGCCAAGGCCAAACAGAGTATTCCATAATTAATCTCAACATGTCCACTTTATAAATCACTAAAGATTTGACAATTAAATAATAATTTACTTTTTCAAAATTAAATCCGGCGTATCCGATGGGCCACCCTATACTTCTCTACAGCAGTCGTTTTGGTTTCGGCTGGTATTACGAGCATGCTTTGTGTTAATGTTATGTTGTTACTTGTAACATTAATGTTTGTATGGGCAATTCGTCAACATAACATTTTTTTAATGAATTACAAATTTTCCTGTGACGATATCGACTTTCACATGGTTTTATTCCGTTGGATAGATGAAATCTATCCTTAAAGAACGCCTGCATAACGTAAAGATTATATTTTTCTATAAAACAATGGTTTTTCATAGATCTTTTTGGTCCGTATATTTCAGATATTGATTGTGTCATGATATGTATCTATACTACTGTTGTTGATTCTAACTGGTTCTTGATAACATGAGTAATTAAAACCTTTTAATGTTGACTTTATACATGTAATTACATCCCTATTTTTGCACCTTTATGTTGCAATATTTTGACTTGGGGTGCTGTGGAAAAATTCGCTATTAACAAATAATTCAAAAACATTTTTATATCTTCCTCTTTACGCGGTTTTTCCAAAGATCCTTTTTATTTTTCACTTAAAACATATTTGTATATATTGGACAATACTCATCAAGAGTATTAAATATATTTCCGTTCAGGCAAGACAACAAATAAGTTGTTGCTATAAGTCATTTTTATTATACCTCATAAGCAAAGCATTTTATTTTATTGATTCATCAAGTTGACTCAAATATTTTTTATCCTTAATCCAACCCCTTCTTGTAAATGGTATCCGAATCCAATATAACATCTAGTTTTAAACAAACCGCAGCGTTTTGAATTTTAAGTAAGAAATTTCCAATACAGGTCAACATAACATGTTATATTATTTAATACAAACTTGAGATAGGCAACTATTCCATCATTGCCATAATAACGTTAGCATATATAACATAAGAATAACTCTTTTTTACCTTTGGTATGCACCGAAAGGTTGATAGAACCTTTAGCGCATAAAATTTGCATTTAGCTGATTTTTTTCTGTTCCGAAAATACTAGGGAAATCCGTGATATTAAAATATACAAGGTAAGACAAAGTGTATTTTTATAGTACCCTTGAATCACCAATTCACTTAGTTGACACAGCAATGCTTCATTATTAACGCAACAAAGCAAAACAGTAAGGATATATAACATTCTAATTATCACGGCCTGAGATTGTTTGTGGTGTAGGCGTTTATAGCCATTTGGATGAGCTTGAGAAAACAAATAATTTAAAATACATTAAATCATATTACGCCGTACTCTCATAATGTGTTTTTCATATAATTCGGGACAAATTTGCGACAGTCATTTTATAATGCAGTTATAAATTAGTTTGTACTCAACTTAACATCTACTCAACATCTAATCATTAGATTCTAATGCAACATTACTGGTATTTAGCTTTAAAGCTTCTAAAGAATCACCTTTCATAGATGTAACTGTCTATCAGGAAATCTCATTATAAAACCAATGTCAATAAATCCTTTAAGCCCTCTTGTAATGAAAAAACCTAATAATTTACAGTTACTTGTTTTGTGGATATCTAATAAAAAAAGGTTGAATGACTTAAAATTATGTTTGAAATCTGGTTTTATAATTGCTTTGTCCGTGTAGTAGATTATGATGGATGACATCTTATAAAAAAAATGAGTTTTGAAGAACTGAGTCAAATATGTTTGTTTCTATCCTAACTGTACATTATTAATACAATCACTAGACCGAGGAATCATCCGAACTTTAAAAATGTACAATAACAAAAACAAACCATCCTCGGCACATTAGAAAATGATAAAAATCTTTATATAATTTACTATTTTAGATAACATTAGAACTATAAATGCATTTTCGAAATCTCTTTTGCCTCAAATGACCCGGAAATTATATCTCGGTCATTTGGTTGATAATTTAAATTTTAATTATGTGAAATCGGTACATAATAGAAAGATTGACTATAAATCATGTGAGCAAGGTGATGCAAAAGGAGCGGCTATTTATCCTTATTTGTATATTTATTTCATGGAAAATCGTAGTTATATAATAACAGATATCAACAAAACTTTTCAATAAGTAAAGAATTCTTTCAAATGCACAGTAGCAAAATTGTGCATAAATAATGACGCCGTTGCGCACAGTTTTGGAACTCCTGATATAGCAAACATTAAAAATGAAATAATATAGACTATATTTAAAATACCCAGTCTAAGTCCAAGACAAGATGCAAATTTTCATTTATGTCTGCAAGAAGTTACTATCAAGAAGCAATATTTATTTAAAAATTAGAAAAATAATACATTCAACATCGAATTCCTAATATATTGGAAATTATAATTTGATAATTGTAATTATTATTAGATACTTCATACATATTTATAGATACATTTGCTTTCGCCTGTATTGAATTATAAGAATCGCGTTAAATCAAGACTAAAAAAATCAAGTAATTGGCCCAATTACCTTGATGCGTGTATATTTGCCAATGTGGAGTGTTGAAATATTGTGTTTAAATAAAATTTATATTTTACATTTGCACTCCTTAGAAGGAAACTATAAATGGTGTCGTAATGGAATGTGCATGGACTATGCCTACCGCGATGCAATAATAATGGTTTATAATATAAACAGTTATAATTTAGCCAAAATATTTAGATAAAAAAATAAGAGGTTATTATAATATTAATCTTTTAGAATAATATGTTGCTAATATGTTAGAAAATTATGAAATAATTATTGATTCAACTGAGTCTATTGCGCTTTATAGATTGATACTAAATATGTAAATTAACATGAAATTAATGATTAGTTCATAATTGCTGTTACGTTTAAGGCAATGTACAGCAAACTTTTTCTATAGGATCTATAGGAGCCTATATAAAAAATAGTTTACGACCATCAAATAGTAAAACTAACTGGTGTCCGAGGCACACGACTTTCTTAATGTGGTCCTCCGAGGTTCTCGGAGGTTCTCTGTTATTTAAGGCTCTATGATTTTTTTATATTTCAAATAAAACATTGTTTGGTGCCATCAAATTTGTCTGAGTATTCCAAATTCAAATTTGCATCAGACTCGCTACTTAAAAAATCTCGAGAGATTTAGGGGCCCGAATAAAATTTTCCAGTGGGACAAATGGTGAAAGTAAGATGCAAGATGACGAGGAACCAATAGATTTTTGCTATGAAAGTTATTAAAGATCATTAATAAAATAATTTTCGATGGAAATTCAATGCACAATATGTGTTCATATCAAAATTTGGAATCATTATAATTTAAGTGTGCCTTAATTAGGGCGACTAATAGCCGAATGGTTAAGTCGCCTTACCCACGTTCGAATCCTGGTCAAAACCAGGCCCTTTGTGAGCCCTCTCTGTGGTTACAGCAATAGGCCATGGACATCGGTCATGGACAGTGAAATTAATGAGGTTCAGCGTATGGACCTTCAACCAAGTCGATGGACAATGACAGTGTTAAGGATAGCAGCAGATTCACAGTGAAAGGAAATAGTGGAATCGCTGAGCATCAATATACTACTGAAGTTAACCTATAAGACGACAGCCAACCTACATATTAAAAATCATCATAATGGTAACTATCCACTGGGAAAGATTACCTACCTAATGTCAACCGCAATCTTAAATTTTCTCAATATTCACATAGATGAACAGATTGTGAATAAAATTACACGACATAAAAAAAGTGTGCCTTAATTATAGGTTAAAATTTGCCGCAAGATAAAACAAGGTTGAAAACACTAGTTTCAATCTAATGCCAGTTAGAGTTTAGGTATAGGTTGTTAATTGTTGTATATACATTTTTTTTGAATCAAACATTATTTGTATATTGGTTTTCTTCATTTACTTCATTTTTATTAGAAAATCTGATGGTGTATGTGTTTTGAAGGGAGTAAGTGTGAAGTAGAGTAATAAGAGAAAAAGAGAAGTTGTATCTTGAATTCAATATTAATTCAATAAAATATTTAAGAAAACATAACTAGAGTATGTACACATAGTGATAAGGTAAATATAGTATAAGAACCTTTACAAAATAAACATGTCACACAAAATGGCGAATATAACATAATATAATATAGGGTGAGAGAGATGAATGGTTGTATGTGAGATGGAATGTCGATGACTTGATGATTACATGATGATGGTATTTTTGGTTGCAATATTTTAGTGGTAAGATCCAGTACCATATGCGCCAACTCCAATAGAATAGGCTTTGGGCACAGCGATAACTTTCTGGACGATCTGCGGGTGGACAGCGTGACCGGATCTAATCACCTCGGCATTGAATCCGTTCACCTTATCAGCCACATACTTGACAGTACGGATGGTACCATCGGGTTCCACAAGGGAGTATTGTCCCTTTACAACATCTCCGACGCGTTCCTCGGACTGTTCTTTCTTGTCACCAGTCTTCGGATCCTCAACTCCATATTTGAAGGCATATTTAGGCGGAGCCTTCGAGAGGGTTAACTTTAGTAATCTAATAGTAGAATGCATTTGATATACTTACATAGTAGTCGATTACGGGTTCTGCTTTTGCATAGGCTACTGGGGCGGCTGTTAAGATGGCACCACCATATCCGCCTCCATGAATACCCCCAATGCCGCCTCCCAAACCATGAGAGCTTATAGATGAGTAAGACTGCGCACCGTACTCTATCGAATAGGCTGAAGCCGCTAAGACAACAAGAAGAATTACCTGAAACATAGGAAGAAATCGAAAAATCAATTATGTGTTGATCTAATTGTATGGATTTGCTGTAGTTACTTTAGTGAACATGTTGTATGTGTTTTAGGGTAGTTTGGTGTATTTGTTTGAGCTGTCGTTTGATCACTGACTAATCAGAGTGGCCAGGTCCATTTATATAGTCATAGCAACGTTCACTTTGGGATCAGAACGAAAAAATCGTACGGCTGGGGCATGTTTCGTTCCGTTGCATTTATTATTAATTTAAATGAAAAACATTGGGCAGAATAGGGGCAATTGGAAAGTGCTCAGTACTTGTCTGTGCGTTTGTGCAGCAATGCAGAAAACTGGAGCGCACAATTCTGATCCACTCACTCTCTTCCGCGCCAATCCTCAAACGCCCTTGCATCGCGTCAGGCCGGTCCGCAGCGCGGATTATGTAACATGAAAGAAATCGTAGCATAAACTATCAAGGCGCACTTTTATCTTCACTAACTAGTTCGAGGTAGTAGAGTGGTAAAAAAATAGCATAATGAGAAGTGCCGGGACAAAAATCGGAAAGCATTTGGGCCGACCGCATATCTGCACTATAGGAAAAGCTTGCGAATAATTTATGGGAACCATAGACAATTATTTGCCACTAGCACGTTTGTTCTGTATATGTGTGGGTTTCGAATAAATTTCTCCCAACTATTGCAGAAAATTGCATCATGCATGGCAAGTCTTCAGAATGCGGTTTCTGAATTAAAAATTATATAGAAACACATTATTGTTAACGCATCTTCATATTCATTTGAAATCTGAAATATTCATTTCAGTAATATAATCATAAAACATAAATAATTCTAAATTGTTATTAATAATATGGGCGATGATAAATGTTCACAAAAAAATAATAATGTTTACCATTATTTTTAAAGCTTTACCAAAAAGAAGTAATGACAAATGTTTACCAAATTTATTAACTCTTTAAAACAAAGTAATAGAAGATGTTTACTAAATTTATTAAATGTTCCCAAAAAAAATGGACAAAGTTTACAAAATTTAATAAATATTCTCAAACAAAATGCAAGATGTTTCCCAAATTTATTAAATGTTTAGAAAAAAAATGAATTTTTCTATAATCAAAATTCTTATTTTTTTAAAATTTAATATATTAATCATTTATTCTTTTCACTATTTTAGATATTCAATAAATGAAAGAAAAATAGATTTCTGAAAAGAAAACGATTCAGATTAAATAATCGTTGAATGGATGACATTTTATACATTTTGAAATCATATTTCCTTGAGAAAAATACTATATGATAAAAAAAAGTATTATAGTATTAATTTCAGTTATTAGTAAGCAGTATATTTTATCTTAATATTTCTATTTAGTTATAAAATATTAAAAAAATATATATTTATATTCTTTCAATTATATTTTTTGTGTAAAAACAGAAATAGTAGAAATCGAAAAACGATTTGTTAAACCCGAAGTATTGTGTAAAAACACATTTGAGAGTATTGATATTAAATTAATATTTAATTAATATCATTTTTTTCTAAATAATAGATAATACCATTAGCATAAAGACAATTATGTAATATTGGTTATCATTGAGCTAGATTTATTCGAATCCGCAGATTATTATTCAAGTGTGTCAGTCTTATCGAATTCCGTGTTAAGTGAAACGTAAAGCCCACAGTTCGGCCGGCGTACATGCTAATTATTCCATCTAAGACCTCAAAATATTATAAGATGATGAAATTTGCAATACACATTGCAGTTATAAGTGGCACAATTTATTTTAATAACAACGTGCTCCAAACGTTTACTTAAAAGACCGCCTATTTTTTACTGTATCCAAATTCACTATAAAATATTGCCACTAGTTTTATTTTTTCACATGGTTCGACAACATTTGTAAAATATTTATAAAAAAATAACGTACCAATTAGTCTGAAAATCCATAAAAATCATAATCACTTAATTTATTTTGATAAAAAAAAACTCAATTCATATAAATAATTTATAATTCAAGAATATAACTTTTTTTAAATTTGATGATACTGATGTTTACACGTTGAGAATATTCGCACAACTGAAGCATTATAAATGAGGACGAAGCATAAAAGATGCGGCAAGTAAATCGTTAAGTACAACTTTTGTATGTGCACACGATTGCCTTCTTGCATAACTTGTTATAATGCTGCAAACCGTAAATAAAACCGTGTTACCTATGTACGGGCAATAATTTAATTATTGCAAAATTACGTTTCTTCGGTTTTTCAAATTAAAAAAGGTGTTTTTATTATAGTCATTACGATCTTGACGCTATTATATATTAACTTTTTGTATTTCCCGTTTTCTATGAAACAATAAAAAAAAATACTGTGCAAAAAAATACAAATTTCAATTACGATAATGATTAAGTGTATACTTCAGATTTCTTTATTTGGTCTCTTTTATTTTTTATATTTCGTATTGTAAACAAAATAAACATGGTTTTGTGTATTTTAACCATATTCCAAGGAAGTAAATGTGTTTTGTATTCAATTTTAACTTTGTAAATGTATGTATCACTATTATATACTATATTTTAAATAAATTAAAGAGTTTTTATGTAGTCTATTCGACAGAAAATTTAGAAAATTGATTTTGCAGTTAATGTTGCATTGTTTATCGTTGTTATATCTGAAGTATAGAAAATGTAATTGGACTCAAGGCACACCCCTGTGGAACGACCGTTTTGAGGGTACTCAGCTTAGTTTGTATTTCCTCCAATTTAATAAAAAAACTTTCTGTTAATTAAATAAGATTTCATGATTATATAAAAGTTATGAAAAAGATTTATCTTTTTTTTCAAAAGCCTAAGAAATACAACTGAGCAATAGTTCTTCTCTTCCAGATCCTGGTTAACTAATCGATTAACCACTATCAGTAAAGGATTATTTGTTGAAACCTCTTTAGGAAAAGTTTTTCAAACACTTTGGATATTAGTAGCAATAGACTTATCGGTATATAAGATATAAGTTCATCTGGAGGTTTTCCTGATTTTTGAATTATTATTATTTGTGCAACTATGTAGGTCAGAATTACACTTTTCTTCGGTATAAATAAGATCGTATCCAAATGATTTAGTTTGTTTAATGTGCATATTTATGTTATGTATGTAACAATTTCTGCTAGTGATATTGGTTCTATTGGAAGAGTATTCTGCTGAGGTATGTATAATTAAGTTCTTCTTATTTTGGGGTCTACAATTATAGTGGCCTTAAAACGTTTGTTTGTCGAAAATGTTTGAATTGGAAGGAATTAGTATTTGTAGATGTTGGAGCTCCTTTGTAGACTTTCATAATGAATAGAATGTGTCTTCCAACACAGAAATATAATTACAATTTGTGTTGTTTTATTCTGTCTATTTTGTATACATATTATTTCCCAATTACAATTTTAATTTATGTACATACGATTTATATATATTTCAATTATTCATCTCATTTTATTTCTCATCATTTTCTCGAAAAAAAAAATCAGAAAAGTTATCAGAAAGTGTTTCCCAAACTTCGGTTTTCGGCGCTCAAATTCAAAACATTGGTCTATCTCAAGGCGAACTTTATGTTAATAGTAGTTTTTCTTTAATTTTCTCAGAACACCTGTAGCACAGACGCGACTACAATATAATTATTTGCAATTAAAAAACTCTTTTGTCAAGGTTGGATATTGTTAAAATAATCAACAACTAATAATATTAATAATAAACAGAATATATTGTTACTTACATACAAAGGGCTGTCTGTCCGCGTTAGGGTTTATAATTTATATATTTCTTTTTACTTTATTTATAATTCATGTTTCTGGCCAAAACTAATTATTTAATAAAAGAAATGAATTTGTATAAAAACTACAATTTTAAGTATTACAAATTGTCGTCTGTAGATAAAATAAAAAGTTAAGGCAGAAAGACAGGATCTATAGCCTTTGTAGCAGATCAATTTGTTATTTTAATTTTATTATTATATATTTTGTTTTTTTTGAGTATGTATTATGATTTGTTACAATAAATATTGTAACGTGGTAAAATAGACAACGCACTTGCAGCTCCACGTTGCAACTATGTTTCCAAAATTCGGAGAGACCGCAGCGAACCGCGGAAGAAGACGGTTGAAGTCTCCAGTGAAGAAGATATTGATATATATTTATAATCTCCAAGAGGACGGTGTTGGTGCTCTAGAGGAGCTAAGGCCCACCGTCGGAGAAGAAATGTGCTGATCTGAGAAAGCAATTATAAGAGTTCTTCCTCTCGATAAAAGGAAGTGGCGCCCTGAACCTTCCCATGTCACGGACTCACGCCCTAGCCGGCTGAAAATTTGTATATCTTATTTTTTATATACACGAGCGCTATCGTGTTACAATATTATATCTTCTTTTCTTTTAATTTATACATAATGCTTATGTTTTTTTTTAACAATCTTTGCATTCTTTATATTATGGATGCATTTTTTGTTTTCTCTCATTTTTTTATTTAAAATATGTATTATCTTTAATATATAATTAAAGACATCTTTTGAATAATGTTATAATACAATATAAGGTGTCAAGGTAAGGTTAAAGTCTAAAAATAATATAAAACAGTTTCCTTAATTTTATCGATTAAGTTAAAAATATAACATGAATAATATAAAATATATACATATACAAATGCATTAAGATATATTATATAATGTATAAAAATATAAATAGCCAATGCAATTATACATGACTATAATCTTCCATTAAAGCTTTTCCATAGTGTGTGATAACGTAGTCGTGATAGTAAATCATTATGCACAGAGGCTGTCCAATGATCAAGGAAGCCCAAACGACGACGTTTCCCCAACGTGGACCACATTTAATTTCCATAAATTTGGAGATATGTGACAAAGGCACTTGAGCCATCATTCCCATGAAGGCCCAAATCTTGAAAGTTTTTAATGGAACGCTCACCTACGTCAAGTGTTTAATTAATACATTATATAGTAATATTTTTTTAATATTAATATTACCAAGTATTCATGGAAAAACGCACTAACGAAGAAAACTGTTAAACCTCCTACAGTTTTCGGATATCCCATTCCAACCAGTGGGATGTATAAGTGACGTACAGCCCATCTATGGACCGGTAAATTCCAAGAACGCCAGAAACTATCAATGTTATTAGCGTTCCACCAATCGGAATAAAACTTTCTATCGGCGAAATGCATCAATTCGCCAACCAAATTTAAAAACGAATGGAACGTTATATAGAACATGCACAGCCATAATAAATGATTTGGAATCTAAAAAAAATATATTAAATTATATGAACTAAATGTTGAACTGAAGGCAGTGTTACAGCTAATTTCAATAGTCTTTCAGTTGCTTTTGTCACATCCATATTGCTGAAAGGAATCAAAGAGTTTTTGACGGATGGGATAATATACTGTTGAATGATAACGAGCATCAGTTGACTGCCAATAATCACTTCTAGTATTCTCTTTAACAGGAAACGCTTCCTAATTCTTTGCGTTCGAGGGAAATTTAGTTCGTAGCACAGGGTCGGAGCTGCGATAAAGTAGAACAAATCTTTTAAATTTAGATTATCTGGGTATTGCACTAATTGCACCTCCATGTGCTCACTTTCTCCATCATTATCTGACTCTGCAACATAGGAATAATTAATATAAGGTAATCTACGCTGCGATAAATTTATTTTTACTTTTAGGTAAACTACTGAATGACAATGATTGACGCCTGAGTGTGTTATTGTTAACTCCGCGCTGCTTATTTCTGCACCAACTGTTAACTTGAACGTAAGACCACAGTTTCAAAAATATTACACTGTACAGGAAACTGACCATGGAAGCACCGACTAAAAAAGTAATTATTTTTAGTTGAATCTGAAATCTCCTGTTGCATATAATTACTTAATCCAAATCCGTCTCGAACATGGATGGAAACCATTGGAATTAAAACCAGAACCAATAAATTTACGACGTGTGATATCATTCCTAAAGAAACAGGGATTATTTCAACTGCCAGACCTTTCTCGGTAATCAAACATAAAGTGATAGGAACTAATATGTCTAAAAGAGAAATAAACTGTAAATTCTGGCAACAAATAAAATTAATGATTTATACATAAGAGTAAAATTAATGTCGGATGATCGGAACTTCCGCTGTCCATTCCGGTGAATACATAGAACCATTGTATCGGATCGACTCGGATGCCATACCTATAAGAAAAATATTTTTTCTTTTTTCTTCTTTTTTAAGATTTTCGATATTACTTAATAAAGTTTTCTAGAAGTAGTCTGAATCCACCCATTGAGAGTAGAAGGAAGGCCCAGTTGACAAAACCGGTAAAATTGTCGAACCCGGAAGTCCACGAAAATAGCGAATCTTGAGGTCGATGGCATCTAAAAATATAACAATATAAAGTAATATCACTAATATAACTAACAATAATAATTTATTGCAACAATAAAAAAGAACAAAATTAAACTTTTTTATATAATAATATAAAAATAAAACAAAATCAAATGCAATTATAAATGAAACCAATTACAACAATTATAATAATAACTAAATAATACTTTGCTCTATTAACATTATTTCTACTACAAATGCCTGAAAGTACGATTCATTTAATTTATCGAATCACATTGTTCAATAGAATTGTATCAAATTACGAAAATCAACCATTATCTAGAAAAATATGTATGAAATGAACAATATTATTCATTCATTGCTACACAAAATAATATTAAGCATATAAACTATGACAATTTGAAAATCCAGTTATTTCATCAAAATTATCAATTCGTCAAACGACAAATATTAGATTGTTTTAATATTTAAATATTTATTTGAAACATTAAGTTGAGGTACATTCTAGTGAACTTTAGAATTTTTATTTGTTAATAAAAATGTAAATCTAGTTTCATTTTTTGTATTTACTCTTGCTTGATATAAAGATTTATTTTATGTGAGGGTTTGAATTTTCTCTGGAGTTTTCGCATAAACTTTATCTTTAAGAAAAAAAGTCTAATTACTATCTTGAAATTAAGCACATTATTGTTATGCCACACAAATATGGTCAACGACGTAATGGGAATGTAGTACAAATAACCAGTGGCAGCTGGTGTCAATCAGGGCCGTCCTTTGGATTTTGAGGCCCCGGCTAAAAACATGAGATGAGGGCAACTTAATAGAATGTGAGAGTGGGGGGTCTAATATCCGAGAAAAAAAAGTGAAAACGGGGGAGCAATATGTCAGAACGGTTGTGAGAGCGGTTGAATTAAATATCTTTTTGGTAATAGGTAAAAAAGTTCCCCGGGTATTATTTATAACAAAAACTTTTCCACTCGACTTTAAATACGACATACCTGAAAATATTGTATCATTTAAATTTCCTAGACACAAAAACAAGTACACAATGTCCTTTTTTAATTATGGCACTTTTTCGTTTTACGGCCCACAATGTTTCGTGATATACGAAAAACTGCAATGTATCAAAATAATTGATTCGATATACAGTTTTCGCATTACGGGCAACTTTTCCGGAACGTATCTAGGACATAAAGCGAGGTATGTCATTTCTTTAATGGTAATATAGTAGAACGACGATCCTCGACAGCTTTAAAATTCGTCAAATTTTGTATGTAATTAGATGTATGAAGCTACTATACTTCATAATATTATACAAATACATATACAGTGGAACCTCGCTTAACGAATTTAAACCGTTCCAAAATTACCGCATTTTTACTCGTACAGTGAAATACTCGTATAGTGAAACATATTCAAAAATACACATAATATGTGTACACAAGTTTTAAAAATGATGTAGCAGACGCACACTATACAGTGGAACCTCGCTTAACGAGTTTAATCCGTTCCAAAATTTCCGGATTTTTACTCGTATAGTGAAACACGTTTTCCCATATAAACTAATGTAAATTACGATAATGCGTTCCTTTCCGGAATAAAAAAAAGTATAACTTGGTCTCGATTTTTAATGATTTTGCTTTTCATATCTATGGTTCTTTTTATTCTTTGGCTTTTTATTAGGAGACATGCAAATGCTATTAAATTTTGCACAAAAAAACATAAATAACATGTTTGAACACAAGTTTGGAAATTTTATGATCACAAACTGTTTTCCAATTCACACACGGTGAAGTGAGTTCATATTTATTTATATTACTTGCACCAATTCGGGCACTTGGTGGAGTATAATCCGCTTTAAACAAAGATGACAATGAAAATTGAAGATGGTTAATATATTCAAAAATACACATAATATGTGTTCACAAGTTTTAAAAATAATTTCTCTTCTCATCATCACTCGTTATGCGAAACGTTGCTCATTAAGCGAGTCATTTTTCTTATAATTCATTTTGCTCGTTAAGCGAAGTTCCACTGTATTTACATGGAGGAATACGTTTCTTACGCATTATTAAAAATATTATTTAGTACTCATTTTTGCTGACATAAGTTTATCTATTTTTGGTAAATTTGTAACGCTTTTTAATAGTTATATAAATCTCAACTTAACCAATTAGAAACACATTGAGAACTGGAACTCTAATTGAACAAATCTGCATACATTATTTCATTCGTTTGTTAATAAACATAAAATAAATGATTGAAAAAAACTGTCTTGAAATAATTATTGTAAAAGAAATACGAATATCATTCAAAATTCAAATGTTCTGTACTCCAGGGGTTTTCAAAATGTGGTGCACGCCGTAATTTGACGAGGGAGCGTGAAATAAACGAAATGAACGACATGGCATAAGACATATTTTTTTGTAAATTTAAAATATAATTAAAACACACTGAATTACACAGACTGTCCAGGTTTGGTTTTATATTCGAGATAGTCACTCTGAGCTCCCTTTCTATTGGAAGATTATTTCTATAAGAAACTACAGTAAAAAAAAACGCAAAGGTATTCAAGTAAGAAAGGGGGACTAAAAATATGAAATATTGAGAACCGCTGCTGTACTCTATGTACTGTTTTTATTTTAAAGTATAATATAAAGTTTTATCCTTGACCGTAGATTAACGAATGCATAATTATACAATTACATGCACAGAAATATTGCAATTTAATGAAATAATTAATGTTGACACATTTTCCTTCTTGAATTAAATTACATTTCTAAACTTGACTTTATTTAGATTTATTTGAACTTATTATCATAAAAATTAATATAATAATTAAATATATTAATTAAATTTAACATAAAAATCACAAAAAAAAATATTTCAACGTATTATTTGTTTGTGATAGCATCAAATAAACACGGATGAGGCGCAGACTAATTTATATAATCTAATCACAGCAAGTGCACAGGGTTCGAGTGACTTTTCATGTTTCTGTCATGCGTCCAAGTTCAAAACAAAATATGGACCCCTATCCGTTCATATCTATATAGCACGATACCAAACGTGTATGATTGAACGATGGACTCTTTGATACCGCAAAATACGAAGAATCGAACACTATTAAATTTGTGTATAATAGCGAACCACGAATTTATTTGTTTGTTTTTTTTTATATGAAACGTGCCGTAGGTTATGTTTATTTTTAATTAATATTTTTTAGAAATTTGTGGTACCCTTGTAAAATGACCTCATACTTACGGTTTGTCTGGTTGTGATCTTCTCGCTTTTTTTTCTTCAGCCTGTATTTCTTCTGCCCTTGTAACACTTTGAGCACGACGCAAACGTAGACCGTCGCCAGCGTTTTCTCCAATCATTTTAACTTCCAGAACAGAGTTTGTGGTCTTAAATCAAACAAACCATGACCGACATACGCGTGAATTAAAATTGTACTGAATCGACAAAATATATAAATGTATATATTAAAAAATAACGTACATTCAATACCAGATAACGCACTTCGAGATAAGACCACCGACGATAGCAGCCGATAGTATTTAGTGTTTGAATTACAAAGAAGTCGGCGGGAGTGCAGTAAGTATGTGCTGGGAAGGGATAAAAGGTCATTAAACAAGGAGAGCTTTATTTGTTTAATTGGATATTGGAAAAGGAAGCTCGCGTGTTGTTTGTTCGGTAGAATAGATTTTATTGAAATCATATCTGTATATTTGGACCTTTATCTAAAGTGCATATTGACTGTCGTATAGTATTTATCCTTGAATTAATTATTGGCATAATAATGCAAAGAGTAGAGTAAACCAAAATAATATGTAACTATGTAAGATAAGATGTAAGTAGTGACATCACCGTCGTCATAAATTACTTTTCTAATACACATATGCAACCGAATATACAGGTATCTAGTGCAAGGTTTCCCAATCTATGTTTCGCGAAAAGTTAATAAACCTGATATAAAATAATTACTAAATAAATAATGATTAGTCGCCTGTATCACAAAAATCTGATACGAAAGTCGTTGGTTCAATTCCGAAAATCAACAAAAATTTGTGGTGGCTGTTAAACCCGAAAGGGGTAGAAATAGAGCCGGAGAGATTTATGTCAATAAATAAATTGATATAAATCTCTTAAATAAAAAAAAAATAATGATTGTTTTTCTATATTTTTTAAATTTTATTTATTATGTGTTATTACTTACCCCACAAAATAAACATAATACTTTGTTTATTTTGTGTGAAAATTTCAGAACTTACGAAGTGTTTTGTTGCAGGAAAAGTTTGAGAAACCCTGATCTAGATGGTATGGTTAAATCCATGATAATTATAACTGTGCTTCCTGTAATTTCTATTGATTACTCGAAGGAGTCTCTCGAATTTATACAAGGAACAAGCAAATTGTTAAGAAATTAGTTTAACTCTATAATTTAATTATAGTTTATTGCATAATTTCGTATATATTCAGTAGCAAAGTACAGCAATTGCGAAGTAATCCCGGATAACTTGAAAGGAACTAAATAAAATTTAATTAAAATGACGTCTACTATGTTTTTAGAAAATCTATTTTTTTTTTCAAATCGGACTGATCGGAGATTACGTTTTAAAAATTTCTTTATTGTATTTAGTTTCGTACATCGTTTTAGTATTAGATTTGAGACTGTTTGCGAGTTCTCGCTCTTTGAAAATTCCATTGATCGGAAGTGCACTATGCGAGGTATTGTATATTATATTTATTGTGGAAAAATGAAATAACAAAGAAAAACAATAAATTGAATAACTGGAAACAATTACTGAAGGCAATCCTACATCTGGATGCTAGCGTTCAAAAATCATAGAGCTTTCTCGGGAAGAATGAAAGTTCTTCGATCTATTTAATGCTACCACTGTACTGAATAAATTAATTAAATCAAAAGTTGTATGTGGCAATAGCATAAATAATTGGCTCTTAATATAATTATTTAAATTTCGTAATATCTATATTTAGTTCAGATCTACATGCATCACATGCATTAATTGGACTCGTCGTATGGTTCATTAATACTAATTGAAGATTATAGTAGATCGTTTTGGCAAACTATCATCTAGTTGCAAATGTCCAATTTATTTGTAACTTTAAATTTGGTCATTCATTAGATAGGAGAAAAGATATAGAAGTTAATTTATAAATAATAACCTATCAATATGAATATGCTATACATTTTTATAAATTTACTATTATTGTGTATTAAAAACCATTTTCTTGGACATGACAGGATCATTGTTGAAAAAGCTAGGAAGTTTAAACATTAATTGAAATCATGATTTTTTTAATGAATTATATTTTTTTCGATGACAATAACCAATCTACCGTTTTTCAAAATTTAAAAGAATAGCGTAATTTTGTAATTATTGTATCTTGAAAATAGCTGTGTAAAGTTTCTTAACCTAGTTCTAAAGTTTTTCGTATAATAGGAAAAACAACGATTTTGGTCCCATTTCTGCCGTTTCTTTGTGTTTTTAGATTTCCTTTTTATTTTTTTTCTTAAGAATTTCCACATTTGGAAATGTCTTATAGACATCTGAAATGGAGTAGTAAAATTTGCATAGAATAAAATAGAAAAATTGGATCGTCAATTCAGGACAGGAGTATTATTATATTGAGTAATTACATATTTTGGTGGGCACACGTTGACGCCCATTGGACGGTGATTTTTTATATCGAAGTTGTAGTGTAATGTTGTGGCTACATTTTATTTTATTTTGCCATTTAGTTTGTGAACTTATGTAGAGCGAAATAGAAGAAAAAAATAGAATGTTCAGCATTTCATGCAGTATTATTTTCGAAAGAAAGAAACGCAAGCGGTCAAAAAGATATGCGTTGTCTAGACCAGAGGTTCACACACTTTTTCGGTTTACGGTACCCTTAATATATCAGATTTTTTCCGCGGTGCCCCAAATCAGAGATTGATCTATCTCAGGGCGAACTTTATGTTAATAGTAGTTTTTTCTTCGATTTTTGCGGCGCCCTTGTAGCACAATCATGGAGTCCCTGGACGCCGCGGCGCACAGTTTGGGAACCCTTGATCTAGACCAGAGGTTCCCAAACTTTTTTGTGTTGTAGACACCTTGCCCATACTTACCTGATATTGATTTTTTGTAAATTTATTATTAATATTGGGTCATCCTTATAATTATTAAGATCTTTGCGCTGAGACTGCGCGTTTGCTTGTAACAAGATGATACTGGTATATCATTATGTGCAGGTTTTTACAAGTTCATACTTACACAACTTACACAATTTTATAAACATATATAATATTTTTTTACTTCATAGGTACTTTTATAAATAATGTATATGTCTTTATATTATAAGATAGTATAATGTAAGTAAATAGGTTGGTAGGTACTATCAGTGTATGTTGAGATCCACTATCATCGACCACTTTGGGAATCTCTAATCTAGACTCTATTGCAGCGATTCTTAACCGGGGTAATTTGTTAGAAATATTTTAATTACTAACAGAGTAGTTGATAAAGTAGTTTTTTGTTCATTGCATTTCACATCTGTGCGGCATATTGCCATGAAATATTGCTAAATGATAAAAAATCAAATTTGGCCATTTATTTCGAAAAGAAAAATTGGATTGCAAAACTTTTTGTTACTTGGCAGACATCTTTCCCATTCTAAACCAACTAGATGTATACAAGGAAAGAAACACATGTTTTCCATGAGAGACAATATCAGAGTCGATGATAATGAAACTTCGTAAATGGATTAGAAAAACAGAATGTTTTCGAAATGTTTCCAAATTATTATCAAATTTAACAAATATTTTCCAAATAATGAACTTGATAGCAGAAAATTATGAATTGTAGATCCTTATAATAACAGTGATAATACCAATTTATCACCAACCCACGATGACACTGTGATAAAGGATTTAAGTTTGATTTTACTTTTCAAGACAAAAAAAATGGTGCAATTTATTGCCATTTGCAATGGTCAACATTAAAACGAATAGCATTGAGTAAAGCAATTGACGATTATATTAAATATTATTATAAATTTAGTTTTCAGATTTATTAATAATGATTATACCTAGTAGTTATATAAAGCGATACCTTCCCTCTCCGTAAAATTTAAATTCAAAGAATCCAATATCGCCTCCCTCTCTAAATTATGTGCCCCTCGAAACCCACATATCCATCCCATCCCATGATTAAAACCCTCCTAGTTCCAACCCTGCTGCTTCTTTTCTTTCTCACTCTTCATAATTTGTTTACATGTATTTTTTTTTCATATAATTAAATTTATGTTCCTGGACGATAGCCCTCTTAATTATTTTTGTTAATATATGTTAAAAAAAATCAGAATTGTTATTATATGCTTATTATTATTATTGATATTACATTATAAAATATACGTTTTTGTTGTTTATAATTACTGTCTGGTCAATAAATTATTATTAAAATGAATATTCATGATTATTATGATACTAGATGATGGGCCAGCAGGCCCCGAAAAGTAGTAGTTAACAACAACTACTCTATAGGGCATCTGCAACTACGGGTCGCGTCATACAAAAGTGGTATACCCGGTTCAGGAGCAATGAGTTGGAGCTCCCAATATAAGCGTTTGTTCGCTTCTTTGATCAATGATTGAGAATGGTGTGTAGATAAATGTGCACTACTTGCATTGAGTGTTTTTATTTTATTATTTGCATTTAGTTTCAAACTATTTTTTTTTAATTTATAAATTTCAACATTCTGTACATTATATATTTATAAAGGAATGTTTTTTTTTTCTCTTCTTTTTATAAAATAGGTTCATAGCATCTAAAATTGCATTATAAAGTATTGTATTCTGTTTTTAATTTATAAATTTGAATTATATTACACAGAAAACAAAAGGTGGACAATTTGAAAACATACTACATACTCTGTGAAGTTTTTTTAATAAATAGTACTAAACTAAATAAATTAACATACTCTTCACTTTTATTGCATTGTACAATTTGCCTTGGGATGTTGAATAATTTATAAATGCTAAAGTACTCGATTTTGTTAAAGGTATGAATGAAGAAATTGTTTATAAAGGGATTGTCTAGAAAATTCATAAAAACCTAAATCTCTTGATGGTTAGGTGAATTCGCCAAGTTGTGTATATCGTCTAAACTCTTCATAGCCTTCAACGAAATATCGTCCATAGATTTTTTCGCACTAGTTGTAATGTCATCCAACGATTTCTTGGTTTGATGGATGAGATTGCTGCTGGCAATACCTTTCACTTCAGAGTCCAGTTTGCTTATCACCCATTCCATAGCCTGGCGACCTTTACCGGCGTTAAGGGAGATTTTATTTGTAAGAATGTCCTCCATGTAATTATTTAATGGTACACCTTTCACTGTAACCACTGCTTCCTGCTTCAACAGCGTCTTCTCTGGATCTCCGGGGTGAGGGACGTATTTTAGAGTCTCGTTCACGGCTATGTGTCGGCAGAAGGTCAAATTAATTGTGTTCAGTATCATTTCCCTGTTGTTTGGATTCACTTGAGACTTTTCACTTGCATAGCAAACTTTCGCAGAACCGATCAACTATAATATAAAAAAAATATACAGAAAACTTAATAATAATTAAAACTTTGCTTTCATTAAAAAATATTTATACCGAGGTCAATGGCCAAATCAAAGGTCATAATTACATAAAGGAACTGTCTGAATGAGATATAAATCCATACTTTTAAAAATATCGCCTAATAATTTATTTATCCTCTGAAAATGTGTTACTTTCCTATGGGAATTACATAAATTTCTTTGGCAAGCGCATCAGAAATTTCCGACCTTCTAATGAACGTCACTATGTAGACAATATAAATAATTATATACACGTTTTGGCCGCTGCCAAGGTTATAGCCAGGCCAGAAATTTTTTTATAAAAAGAGTCAATCACACGTAATAAAAAATAATGATTGCATTAATATCCAAAGTATGAGTTCGTCATAAAGTCCGTCATAGTTCAAAGTACATTATACAATGGAATTTGATTTGCGCGCAATCCAACCACATGCGCAACATTCAAACGTGCATCACGAGGATAAGATCGGTTTATAACAAAAATTGCAAAAGATAACTTGTGGGCTATCTGTGATGATCATTAAAATTGCAAAATTTTAAATTTATCAAAGTATGTTCATAATGCTTCAAATTATTCATTTAACTGTACTGAATTAACAATAAGTAACAGAGCTCCTGACAGTTGTCCTCAAATAATATTTAAGTACATTCTACAATATTCAGTTCATGGTAAAAACCAATATAATTTGATTTTGAGATAAAACAATAATCAAAATATCTTGTTTAATTGTTTTATAAATATAAATAACTTCTGCTATGTAATATACAATACATAGAACATTTAACTGTTAATTATATAACTATTTTTTATTCAATTATTACTATTAAGACTAAATCAATTGCATTTAATAAAATATATATACTTACAGCTTGTGTCCACTTAGGAAAGTACCACTTTGTGCTAACTAGTCTATGTGTGTGAAGTACCCCATCAACAACTGTCCTTTCGACAACATCAGTTCCTATCACAGCTGGGTTATGTGGGTTGGGGTACTTCCTCCATGCTGCAGTGGCAACTGTTTCCCATGGATGACTAAAACACAATACTTATTACTATTTGGATGTACACAAGCATATTATCCAACACAAAAGGAAATTCCAATTGTGACTCACTTAAATGTATGCTCACTAGTCCAAATTTTCATTGTCAGATATAACGTAACAAAACAAAAATCAAAGATTGGAAACTACTCGTACTATTAACGGCAAAAATAAATCGTTTTAGGACCCACAAATATCCAGCCTGCTCGAAACTAAAGCCTTCAGACCATCAGACCCAATCAGACCGACAGAAGGATACAGGATAGCTCGTAGCGAAACTATGTTTGACGTTTTAGTTTTACAATTGCCTGCGCATGGTAGCACTGCGAATTCCAAACTCAGAAAAAAAAGCTTAATTAACTAATTGACATTATCATGTAAATTATTTCTTAAAACTCAATAAAATGCATACCGTAATTTTAAATTATAATATTTTTTTTTTAAATTTTAATATTGTACACCATTTTCTCGTAATTTTAATACGCTACCATCTATTGGCAATATATTCTACTGAGCTTATTATTACTGCGACATCTGCAATGACACTTAGGAACTAGAATAAAGAAATCTCTGTTGTTTAAATTTATGCTATAAATATAAATGTATGTACTTCAAAAATACATATACTGAAATTGGAACGATGAAGATAATAAATATAATATACTTTTATATCATACTTAAAATGAAAATGTCAAAGTTGTGCTAAGCAGGTCCGGGTGCTAGTTTCCAGGCCGCTCGGTGCACGATATGAATTTAACATTAAAAAGACCTGTATTAATTTATTAAAATTTGCCCGGACATATGCCAAATTTTCCCAACGATACAAGACACGAGAATATAGGACAGGCAGTAAAATATGAAAAAATAACATTTTAATAATGATATAAATTGAAATTTAAATATTTCTGGCACTAAATATTCCAAATATTGGGACAATTAGTTATTATTATTTACTATTATCACGTTATTATCTCCGATTTGATGAGAAGAATGTTGGGTAATTTGAATAGAATATGGTTAATTAATTTACTCTTAATTTTATGATCTACCAAATCAAATGGGTTAATTGTTACAAATCGACTGCATTTGAACAAGAATCTTAACGTAGAAGCCAAAACAAATGTACAAATCATTACACATCAGGCTTTCAATCGACAGTAAGTAGTGTTTATTTGTTGTTGATGAAAACTTTACAACCAAGAAGTATTTCGTCTAATGAAAAATAATCGCCTGATATAAATAATTTATGGATGAGTAAACCATATATCAACTCGGGTCAAATATAATCATACATTAAGAACAGAGACAATTTGTCCACTTTTGAACTCGTCAATGGCCAATTTGGAAAATAAGCAAACATAGTTAAGACTAATGTATACAATTTTGCATAAATCACAATAGGAAATAATGATAAAATAATGTCTAATATAATATGTATTTTTCAAGCTGATAACATAAGTAAAGTCAAATTCTTTTAATAATACATTTTCCTAAAAAAAATCAATATACTAAATTTAATATAAAATATAATGATCAATCATTCAAAATAATTTGTGAATTAATAAAATTATCATCCACTATCTACCTTGATGTTTGAACTATCAAAATATGATACACCTATATACCTCGCTATACGACCGCCTTTTATATGCTGTTTCGCTATAACTGCCTTTTTTAATTTATAGCATTTTTTCAAGTTACGGCTCACAATATTTCATTATACGACCAAAAACACTGGGGGGTTTGTTTCATAACAATTGATTCCAATACTAGGCCGTAAAAAAGGCATGCATTTTTAAATTGCGTGAGTTTGGGATAAATTATAAAGAAATATTGATTTCAATTGATCAATATTCGTACATTCACTTGCGTTTTGTCAGTTGTGTATTGACTCACATAATATAATGGTTTAGCGTTATCTTGCTGAATACAGATAAACTTGTTTTTTTTTATTAGAAATTTTTAATATAATATTTTGTTACATCTTTCTTTTTTTAAACTAATGTTTCTTTTGTTAATTTTTGTTGTTTTTATTATCTAATTCTTTACAATCCTATTTGATATTTATACTTGGAATATTTCTGTTGTTGTGTCCCGGAATTAAGAAAGCTCAGGACACTCGTAGTTATGACGTTATGGAGCCTTAAAGGGGTTTATGAATATTAAATGCTATATTCGTAATTCGTTTTATTATACACATCAGAATTTTTATTGAGAAGTCAACTATACAAGTGTTGATCTCATGGATTATTAACTAAGATTTACATTAGTTAATAATTAGGAAGTGAGTGTTCTTCCCTGGACTCTCCAAGTATGACTTTGTTCTTCCTTTCTTCTTTCCAACTAAGATTAAATTATATAATACAAAAATGTATCAATTTCAAAAAGGGGCTGCGTAGGAGTATTATTTCGGGGATAAGGAATCAGTTTTCATCTTGTGGAAAATACAACCTTTTCTTTATCTAAGTTTTATGATCCTATCCAAATATTTAAAGGCAGAAGAAGGCTGTTGTCAAGGTTTATTGTCAACATTTTTTGAAAATATTGAAAAATAATCAATAAGCGGATGCATTCATCAACATTAAGTATGATATACAGTGAAACCTCGCCTACTCATATAGTGAAACAATTTTCCCCATATAAACTAATGTAAAATACGATAATGCGTTCCATGCCGAAAAAAAAGTATAACTTGGTCTCGCTTTTTAACGATTTTGTTTTTCATATCTATGGATATTTTTATTCTTAGGCTTTTTATTCGGAGATATGCAAATGTTATTAAATTTTGCACAAAATCACAAATAACATGTCCTAACACAAGTTTGGAAATATGTTTTCCCATTCCATACGTTAAAGTGAGTTTACAAGTTTGACACCATTTGTATATATTATTTGTATTGATACGGGGTTTTGGTGGAGGTTTCTTTATACTTTTAATATTTATTTATATAAATAAGCGTACATAGTTAGTTTATATATTATTATAATGGTTGGACAGAATACATTTTTTTTGCTTACAGTAAACACAGATTATATTAAAAAATACACATATTTTGAAAATAATGTAATAGGCGCACAATCTAGGACTTCAAGTAATTTTTCTTACAATGTATTTTGCTCGTTAAGCGAGGTTGCACTGTATACTATTTTATATATCCATCCCTAATAAAAATGTCTTTAAACTGATGTTTTAATAAAAATATTTTGTATTTTTTGATTATTGTATTACACTATTATCATAATCTTTATTAATTTTAAAACATATTGAAAAAATATAGGAAATCTTTTGCATGAATATCACATATCATTGAATTTGAATTGAACCTACTATTATAAAAACAATGCATAAAGTTGAATGAGCTCTTCTTTGAAATGATCTGATGGTACTATTGAATTCCAATCCCAATCTACACAATGGTACTCCAGATTCAATTGAACATTGCATACATTTTTTTACGATTTTATTCGATAGCAGTAGATTCATTTTCAAGTTGTAAATAGGACATGTTTATTTTTTTACTTATTCATTGCAAAATTAATAAATAAATTACGAAGATGATGAGCACCAAACTTAAACCAAAATAAAAAAAAAATCAATGAGTGGAATTGTCAGCCGTAATAATAATAAATTGCAATTAGTATATAAAAAGATGAAAATAGTCTTTGGTAACAAGTATACTTGATTAATATTGTTTCAACTATTACAATATATGAAATATTCACATCGGTTGCGATTAATGCGACTGGTTGCGTTAATAATTTTCGCTCGCGTCCTCTGAGTGTTTCTCCGGTAAATATGAACTGTGTTAGTACAGGTGAAATGTAGAGGCGCTGCGTACATATACACAGGTGGAAACTGTTGACCGAAAGAGCCACCACTTGCTAGAATTTGTATTATTATGTGCGTGCGTGTATGTGTGCCCTATCAGCAGGTAAACTTAAACCGGAATGTTTGTTAAGTGACGTTGAGTGATATTAGTGTGAATTAGTGCCTTACTTAGTGAAGCTAAAATTTTTGAGAAAACGCAACGGCAAAAAAATATTTACGAGCGGGCAGAAATTCCATTCCTCGACAGAAATCTCTAAAATGTATTGGATTATTTGAATTTCTCGAGGGAAATTTTATTTTTGAAATCAAAGTAAGTAGCAATCACATTGTACTCGGTCGGGATGAGATCTTGTGACTTCAGATGTTTCCAACATTGTTTAAGTCTTCATTAGTTTTTACACGTAGCCGTTTCGGTTCCAGTATATAACTGTGTAAACTAGCCACCCGTATAAAGCAAACTCAGACACCGATCACGAAACTATGGCAATATAAATAATACGATAGAATGTTTTTCTTGTTACCTGTGAACCGAAATGAAAAAAGAAACAAGTTTCACCCTAAATATCTGATCGTGAAAATCTTACCGAAAAACATCGGACGATTTTATTGCCAGCATGAAGATTCTTCTTTTTAAGGTCAACGCAACCAGCCAGCCACAGGTTCACTCATTTTACGTCCATCCAAAAGCAGATTTTTTTTTAGTTTATACGAGGAATTGCATCGGGCCGAGATAAACAAGAAAATTTCTAAAGTGAAATCGTTAAAATATGGGGAAAAAAGTAGAAAATGATTTTATCGTGGTGCAAAAATCAGCCGTACGAAGTAAAATATGAATTAGACGATTGTGTTTTGCCAATAAAGTTGGAAAATTGATAAACTCACTAACTTGTCGTCCTTGGAGAAGTGTTCGATCATGAATTGAAATAAAATTGACCACAAATGTATGAGAATAGAATTTTTGTAGCTGTCGACCTTTACAAGTACAAGTTTATTTTAACAAATTTTATTTTTTATCTGTATTAACAGATAAAACATAACATTAACAGTGTTATACAAACTTTTTTTTATATATATATATACAACAAATGGTATCTTCTCTACTATACATTTTCTACTTGATAAGACCAGATTGGAAAGTTTATAAGTTATTCAGCGTCTAATTAATGTTGACGATTTTACTGTTAAATGGAAGAAAATCGATATATTTTCACCTTAATTAATGCATTCAATTAAATGAAACTTAAGTGCGGCGGTGAATCATTTTCCTCTAAATTAATGTAGAGTGTAATATGCAGATTAAATTATTGTGTTAAATTAAAGATATTCAAAATTATCAATGACATATTTTATATACTTTCTAATAAGTGCAATAAATAAAAATGTTTAATATTACCAAAACAAATTTAAGAAATAAATTGAGTACAATCTGAAGAAAAATATGTTAATGACATTCAATTTAACTCTTTGAGGGGCCAGAAATTCTTCTAGACAACTGAATCAACATCGGACGATATGGCCTATCAAGATTCATTTATTCATTCATTCCTGTTTCCTATACATTTTTTAGAAAATTATAATAATGTCCCACTAGGCATGTTGAAATAAATAAATAATTTTCTATTATGTTTGTTTTTCATATCGTTAAATTTTATAAGAAAAATTTTAAATATAATTTATTCACATATAGAATTTTTCGAATTCTTTATAAGGTTAGGAATAATTTCAACAGCTTTTATCAATTCATGTGTTTTTATGGTGCTGTTTACTGTAATCGCTTGAATATTTTCACAATACGCGTGATAAGGCTAAACAAACCAATAAATGACAAGTTTTAATTGCATAATAAATTTGCTGGTACTACAATCTCAACTTTAATTGTTTAAAATCTACTTAGTTTTCAAACAATTGATAAATACAGGCGGAAAGACTTCCAAATAAAAATTATAAATAAATTGTTGTTTATTTACAATTCACAAGTTACTATTTTAACACTTTTGTTAGCGAAATCAGTCTAGCTAAATTAATTGAATGCCAGGTTGTATTTTGCAAGTATTGGAATGTTCTATAGACGTCTCAATAAAACGGTAAATAAAATGTGTAAAGAATACAGAGTTCAAGTAAACCTGCCTTCTATTTCTAACAAATCAAATAAATTCAAACATGTTTTTTCCAAGAAAAACAAATATCAAGTTTTGCATCAGTATTATTTGAAAAATTACACTTTTATTGTTGCAATTTTCTATTCTTCGTGTACAGTTTGTAATGGACCAATTTTCGGATTTTTTTTTAATTTACGTGCATATATAAATATTTATTTTGTCAATTAATAATCTAATTTATCATTTTAATATATTAAATTTCTTATAAAATTACATATTAAAATGAGATGAAAACGTCGTAGTCGTAGTGTGAATGTAAAATTATATATAAAAACTAGTTAAACTTTTTGCTCTGTCTACTTTGTCTGAATGAATGACTACTTGAATGAAAAATTAGCAAATTTAAATTATATTTGTTAAATTTAGTTTTTAATAAAAATTTACATTCATTATATTTCATTTTTTCCGATATGTTTGTACATACATATATAAATGATGAATTCGTATCATTTTATAAATTTAAAATATGAATATTCGAAAGTTTACTACGGATTGTAGGTCGATTTTACAAACAATAAATGAAATGTTTAATTACGAATTCAACAAATTAGTTTAAATGCATCTGTGCTATGTGCGTATAAATTCCACTTTTTTTTTCTATTCTACCGTTATAGGAAGTTGCGAGTGTAGAATATTTATAAGGCGTTCATTAATATTATACGGTGAAATTTACATGTTAGAATCTTAATGTAAATATATCATAAGAAATTTCGTAAATAATCTTTGTTAAGATTTCGTGAACATTGATATTTTATCGTACATAGATGATAATAGCATATTAAATATACTGCAATTTAGAGTACTAAATGTTTTCAATAATAATGGAAAATAAATAATTCAAGTTCTTCTACAGAAAATTGTTATAATGATAGTAGTGTGCGGTTCTTAACTTGATGTTTATATTAAACTGTAATATAAATTAATAAGTATGTTCATATGTGAAATTAAAGAATATCATTAAATTGACAAGTAGATAATTTCATCTCAAAATACTCAACTCATTAACAATTATATACAAACAAATCACGGTGTTCTTACAGTTATCCGCAAATATACATTGTCGGAGAATGCAATTATACATTGTCAATTATATAGAATCATCTGTGGATTCTAAAGCCTACTGCACATATCTGTATCAACACCTACTCTTATATGCAAGATTTTATTAAATGTCATACACAAATTGTCTATTTGACAACAGTTTAACAAACAAATTTAAAGATAATTTGCTAATTATTCAATAATTGCTATTTAATACTTAATTTTTAATTACAGTGGAACCTCGCTTAATCCGTTCCAAAATTTCCGGATTTTTATCGTATAGTGAAACATATTCAAAAATACGTGTACACACCATGGTACACACACATAATATGTGTACACTAGTTTTAAAAATGATGTAGCGGGAGCACAATCCGGGACTTCTCTTCTCATCGTCACTCGTTAAGCTAGTTATTTTTCTTACAATTAATTTTGCTCGTTAAGCGAAATGCTCGTTATGAGAGGTGCTCGTTAAACGAGGTTCCACTGTATTATTATTTACAGAAATCATCGTAAATCCTTAGATATTAGTAGTAAATTAAAACTTTCCGTATTGTTAAAATATATTAATTTAGTATTTACTAACTTTCCAAAGCTATCAATCAGCTTTAACAAATATTGTCATCTTGGAACTTACTGTATTGGAATTTCCAGACGAATACCGTACTTTGAACTTGATTTGGATCAAATCACTTTAATTGGGTTCTTAATCTTTGAACATTTAAATAGTGTCTCTGACTATATAATGTTATAATTTGGGACAAATATTAATATACAGATTCTATATACCAGCGACGACAAACTTGTTCATTCTTAAGATTTACCTGATCTAATGATTTTTTTTAATGTCGTGTAATTTTATTCATCAATGTGAACAAATTTAAGATCACGGTTGACATTAGGTAGGTAATCTTTCCGGGTGGATAGTTACCATTATGATGATTTTTTTTAAATGGCTGTCGTCTTGTAGGTTAACTTCAGTAGTATATTGATGCTCTGCGATTCCACTATTTCCTTTCACTGCGAATCTGTTGCTATCCTTAACACTGTCATTGTCCATCGACTTGGCTGAAGGTCCATATGCTGAACTTCATTCATTTCACTGTCCATCCTATTGCTGCAAGCACCGAGAGGCCTCACAAAGGGCCTGGCTTGACCAAGATTTGAACCTGTGCCCACTAGCACGTGGGTAGGGCGACTTAACCATTCAGCTATTAGTCGTCCTATCTAGTGAAATTATGTTTTATTTTGTCTTGTATTAATATAGCATCATATTCAAAATAATAATAATTTTTAAATGCACGACATCAATTTGTCGGTTCTGAAAATTATCGTGATTTACCTGTAAAATTATTAATATTTTACATAATCAAGTTTCCTAAAAAAATGTATAAACAGAATAACAGAAATGAAGAATAATAAGTTTTTATGTTCATCTGTATGTTCATATGTTCGTGATAAACCAAAAATCGCTTCGCGGTCAACTTATTGGCCATCGCTGCTATATACAAACATGAGAAATCAGGAACTCTTATCGTTTTGTTGTTCTTATTACAAAAATACGTTAACTAGGTCAGTTATTCAAAGTTGTTTTTATTATGTATATAGATAATTATTCAAAATGTAAATGAAATAGCTTGTAAATGAAAGATTCCAATACAAAGTTATGTCTAACCTTATTATTGATATTTAATATTATATTTTCCTGTTATTTTCTTTTTATACATCCCGAAAATAATTGACGACATTGTTAAAAGATACTTATCACTAATATAAAAATGAAATACAATATTACATATTTTTTTTTCAAATTCTTAATTTCGAAAAACAGACTATATCTGATTAGATATAATTATATTAATAAAATGTAATATAATAAACTAACACTGTAAATAATCAGAATGGTCAACGCATACATTTTTAGAACTTCTGGTATATATAATGAATATATCACAATACTTTTACTTGTTAACAAAAAGCAAGATAGTTATATACTAGTATAACTAATAATTCATGAATTATTTGACAAAAACAGACACTTTAAAAACGTTATTTTTGTCCCCTGGCTTCATCTGTTTCTATTGTCACCAGCAGCCACATCTTAGTATTAGACTAAGCAAAGAAACGTTAGAATGTTATTTGTTTAAATTTCTCATCTACATAAAACATAATTTTCATCGCTAAGGATCCGCTACTCAAACATTTACGAAGAACCCCAGCATTCCTCGGAGCCCAGAGATTGCTTAAGCTCACAACAAAATATGAATAAAAATTAACGATTGTTTGTGGAATTAATCAGATTAATTACACAAATGTAATAGAAAAAGGAATTTTGTAATCCATTATTATAAAGATTACTATTTAAATAAATGATAATTTACAAATGTTTATTGTATTTATATTATATTGTATTTAGGTAGTAAAAACCAAACAAATTACTGATGGTGTGGCTATTGACAGTGGCTATTCGTTCCCAGAATTCTTGTTTCACTCTCATAAATTTAACCGTTAGATGTTGTTAAAATTGAAGGTATTTCGTCATCATCAAATTAAAAAGAAAACTTATATGGCAGTATGACATAAATTAACTTCAAATGGAAATAGGGGTCAGACGTCGCTCGAGTTGTCTCTTCTGCATAATATTTAAATGAAGAACTTTTATTGATTGCAGATCAAACAAAACTAATATAAAGTCAATTGAATTTATTTAAGTATATGATGGAACAATGCAGAAATACGTTTTTCAAGAAAATTTAAATAATTTTGTATTTATTTTTCAAAATAAAACGAATAATTGAATTGAATTGGAACTTTATGATACACACGAACTAATATAACATTGTTAATACAACAATAATACAATTATACACTTTGCCGCTATGTAAATAAGATAGAACCAAATTTAGTAAATTCATACATGCTACTTATTAAATGACATTTTATCATCAATTATTTATTTTTTTGCAGATTTCCCAAATAAAATTGGATCAAAATGGTGATAGTGACCAGGGTAAGTTTTTCTGTTAGTCGTTAGGCCAGTTATTCAGAACAATGAACAGTTTATGACATACATAAGTATATGATTTTTTTAAAAGTTTTGGAGGTCTTTAAATATTTGTGGACAACGGCACTTTTGAATCGCATAAACCAATAGGTTTGCTTTATACCAAAAACAAATAAAGCTCTACATCTATTTACCGATGTTCTTTCACATTATATTTTTTTATGCGTGTCTGTTCGGAATGGGTTTCAATCCATTTGAAAACTGTATACAATGGATGACGGCCATGCTTCTAATTCCGGTAAGGTTTTTAGGACAACCTCCGGAAACGTTCTCCACGCATTACTAGCCTCCTCTCTACAGCGACATCCTATTATGAACACCTATATACTTTTATACAAAATCACCTATTGAACAGCAACTGTATATTATTTATACCTGATTTCCTGTCAATACAAAACACGAACATATAATTATATTATAGATTATTTGCTGTAGCTGCACATACGCCTACTTAATTGCATTCAAATGATTCGATATGATTTCATTAAAATTGAAAATAATATTGCAAATAGTTTATAATGTCAATTGTACATATACATATTATACGTCCTTGATTGAAAATATATAATAATTTTATTTTACTATTGTCACTGCCGAAGTGCAGTTGCTAATAAACGATTGTTTATATTTCATCCGTTCTAATTTTATGAGGCCAACGTGGAAAATAATTTTCCTTTCAAATGTATATGAAAATACATCGCATACGTGGAGAAAGTTTGCATAAAAGAAGATAATTACGCGAAACTGAAGAAATACTGGAGGTAAACCTTATTCATTTATGAAGCGGCCGCATGTTTCGCTATTATTTACTTGCACACATAATAAATGTGAAAATTCTCATAATTTTTATTTTGCATATATGTATAAATGCAATGGCAAACAAAAGACTGGTTTCTTAATTGAATAAAATGTAAAACCAAACATTGCTATGTGCTGTCTCAGTCTCAATTGTCACATAATCTCAAAATTCCAAGAACATTTTTAACACCTTTTTCGTTCCAAATTTCTCTGAATCATAGTTCGTCTTTATTTTATTTTTTTCAGAATAATAATCTTTGAATTAAATAGTACTTTATTCTATAAAATATCATGATGTAGATATAAACTAAACAATCATTATTATATTATATAATTTAGATGAATTATGAAAAGAAAGTTTCTTTATTTATTTATAATAAGATATTTAGATATTTATTAATAAAAAACCTTTCCAGGGTGATTACATATGGATTGAGCCAATATCCGATAATGAATTCGACGTGGCTATCGGCGCCAGAGTTATCTCCGCAGAAGGACGCAGGATTGCAGTCCGAGATGACGATGCTCAGGAACATTGGCTATCACCAGATAGACGTATTAAAGCTATGCATGCGACATCCATCAATGGCGTCGAAGACATGATAGGTCTTGGTGATCTTCATGAAGCAGGAATTCTTCGAAATTTACTCATTAGATACAATGAGAATCTCATCTATGTTAGTACTCTATACGTGTATATATGTCTAGTTTCATTCAAATGTTTTTATTTGCAATTATAGACTTACACGGGATCAATTCTGGTAGCTGTTAATCCGTATCAAATACTTCCAATCTATACAGCAGAGCAAATAAAATTATATAAAGAGAGAAAAATTGGAGAACTGCCACCGCACATATTCGCAATTGGTGACAACTCGTATGCGAGCATGCGAAGATATGGACAAGATCAATGCATTGTTATCTCAGGAGAGTCGGGTGCTGGAAAAACGGAAAGCACCAAGTTAATTTTGCAATACTTGGCAGCGATCAGTGGAAACCATTCATGGATCGAACAACAAATATTAGAAGCAAATCCAATTTTAGAAGCTTTCGGAAACGCTAAAACAATTCGAAATGATAACAGCTCAAGGTAAACATATAATTATTGCTAAGTTAAAAAAGTATACAGTCTATCCGGTACTTGATGATCATTTACTAGTTACAAATATGAAGCAAGCAGATATTAATTTCAATACGCCCGAGGGACGGTTGAAAAGGAAACTATACTAATTCTATTAATTACATTTTAGGTTTGGTAAATATATCGACATACATTTCAACAACAGTGGTGTTATTGAAGGTGCTAAAATCGAACAATACTTATTGGAAAAAAGTAGAATAGTCTCGCAAAATCCAGACGAACGCAATTACCATGTTTTTTACTGTCTGCTAGCTGGTTTAAGTAAAGACGATAAGAAGAAATTAGATTTAGGAGAAGCCAGTCAATATAGATATTTAACCTCTGTGAGTAAAACATTATAAATTACAATAAATGATATCACAAATTACTTTTTAGGGTGGCACTATAACATGTGAAGGCCGTGACGATGCTGCTGAATTTGCAGACATAAGGAGCGCGATGAAAGTGTTGCTGTTTTCTGATCAAGAAATCTGGGAAATTCTCAAATTATTGGCAGCGCTGTTGCACACCGGAAATATAAAGTATAAGGCTACAGTTGTTGATAATTTGGATGCCACCGAAATTCCAGATCCTACGAATGTTCAACGTGTAGCAAAACTACTCGGTGTTCCAGCGCAACCACTGATTAATGCTTTGACAAGGAAAACCCTGTTTGCTCACGGCGAAACAGTAGTATCTACTTTATCACGTGAACAAAGTGTGGATGTAAGGGATGCGTTCGTCAAAGGAATTTACGGAAGGTTGTTTGTCTTAATCGTTAAGAAAATCAATTCTGCCATTTATAGGCCGAAAGAACGTCAGTGCAGTTCTATAGGTGTTTTGGATATATTTGGATTTGAAAATTTCAACCACAATAGTTTTGAACAGTTTTGCATTAATTTTGCAAACGAGAATTTGCAACAGTTCTTCGTAAGGCACATTTTTAAATTGGAACAAGAAGAGTACAACTTAGAAGCTATCAACTGGCAGCACATTGAGTTCGTCGATAATCAAGACGCATTGGACTTAATAGCTGTTAAACAATTGAATATAATGGCTTTGATTGACGAGGAGAGTAAATTTCCAAAAGGTACAGACCAAACACTACTAGCAAAATTGCATAAAACGCACGGCAATCACAGAAATTACTTGAAACCGAAATCTGATATAAATACTAGCTTTGGGTTAAATCACTTTGCTGGCGTAGTCTTCTACGATACCAAAGGGTTCCTCGAAAAGAATAGAGATACCTTCAGTGCAGATTTGCTCCAGCTAGTAACTATTTCTAGCAACAAATTTCTTCAACAAATTTTCGCTAACGATATTGGCATGGGAGCGGAAACTAGAAAACGCGCACCGACTCTTTCTACTCAATTTAAAAAGAGTTTGGATTCACTGATGAGGACTTTATCTAATTGTCAGCCATTTTTCATCCGTTGTATAAAGCCTAATGAGTTCAAAAAGCCAATGATGTTCGATAGAAACCTGTGCTGCAGGCAATTGCGATATTCCGGTATGATGGAAACTATTAGAATACGAAGAGCCGGTTATCCAATCAGACATACCTTTAGCGAATTCGTTGAGAGATATAGATTTTTAATACCTGGTATTCCGCCATACCATAGGACAGATTGCCGAGCCGCAACATCAAAAATTTGTTCAGTGGTATTAGGTAGATCTGATTATCAACTTGGTAACACGAAAGTCTTTCTCAAGGATGCGCATGATCTGTTCTTAGAACAAGAAAGAGATCGCGTCTTGACAAGGAAAATATTAATTCTCCAACGTTCAATAAGAGGTAAATAACATTGTAATTTGTATTCTTTTATATTTAAAATAATATATTTTTTTAGGATGGGTATATAGAAGAAGATATTTAAGATTAAAAGCTGCGACAATGATTATTCAAAAGTATTGGAAAGGATACATCCAAAGGCAACGATATAAGAAAATGCGAGTGGGTTATATGAGATTGCAGGCTTTAATCAGAGCGCGAGTATTGTCGCATCGATTTCGCCATTTACGTGGTCATATCGTTGGCCTACAAGCTCATTCCCGTGGATATTTGGTCAGACGTGAATATGGACATAAGATGTGGGCCATCATCAAAATTCAATCACATGTTCGAAGGATGATCGCACAAAGAAGGTTTAGAAAAATTAAATTCGAACATAGAAATCACATTGAAGCTCTTAGATTAAAGAAAAAAGAAGAAAGAGAGTTAAAAGACGCTGGAAATAAAAGAGCTAAAGAAATTGCAGAGCAAAACTATCGGTAGTATTATATATAAATAACATAAAACTTAATAAATAATACAAACATTTATATTTTAGGGATCGAATGTATGAATTGGAAAGAAAGGAACTGGAATTAGAGATGGAGGATAGAAGACGTGTTGAAGTGAAGAGAAATTTAATTAATGACGCAGCCAGAAAAGCGGATGAACCTGTGGATGATTCAAAACTTGTTGAAGCCATGTTCGATTTTCTTCCAGATTCGTCTAGTGAAGCTCCAACGCCGGGTACATTAAGTATATATTATTTATAAATGGTCAATCTTATATTAAATTATTTTTTTTAGGAAGAGAAACATCAGTTTTCAATGATTTACCGGCACAACCCGCAGAAAATGAAATAATAAGTCCGATGCAAATTGCGTCGGAAGACGACGAAGATTTATCAGAATTTAAATTTCAAAAGTTCGCTGCAACCTATTTCCAAGGAAATGTCGGACATCAGTATTCTAGGAAACCTCTAAAGCATCCTCTTTTGCCGTTACACACTCAAGGAGATCAACTAGTAATTCATTTTTTTTTAAATTTCTACAAAAAGATAAAATTTTATGATTTTTTTAATTATTATTGTTTAGGCCGCCCAAGCTTTGTGGGTTACAATATTGCGATTCACTGGTGATCTTCCAGAACCTCGTTATCATTCCATGGATCGTGACAATACTTCTGTAATGTCTAAAGTCACGGCCACCCTTGGTCGGAATTTTATTAGAAGTAAAGAATTCCAAGAAGCACAATTAATGGGATTAGATCCCGAATCATTTTTGAAGCAGAAGCCTCGATCTATTCGTAATAAGTTAGTGTCACTCACATTAAAGCGCAAGAATAAACTTGGAGAAGATGTACGGAGGAAATTGCAAGACGAGGAATACACTGCAGATAGTTATCAAAGTTGGTTGGAGTCGCGACCGACGAGTAATCTGGAGAAACTACATTTCATTATTGGACATGGAATTTTAAGAGCAGAATTGAGAGACGAAATTTATTGCCAAATTTGTAAACAGCTAACGAATAATCCGTCGAAATCTTCTCATGCCAGAGGTTGGATCTTACTATCATTATGTGTCGGTTGTTTTGCACCTTCCGAAAAGTTCGTAAATTATTTGAGAGCGTTTATTCGTGAAGGACCTCCAGGTTATGCTCCATATTGTGAGGATCGTTTGAAACGAACGTTTAATAATGGGACAAGAAATCAACCCCCAAGTTGGTTGGAGTTGCAAGCGACCAAATCCAAGAAACCTATAATGTTGCCCATCACTTTTATGGATGGTAATACAAAAACACTTTTAGCCGATTCGGCGACTACCGCACGAGAACTTTGCAACCAGTTATCGGATAAAATTGGATTAAAAGATCAATTTGGTTTTTCGCTATATATAGCTCTATTTGATAAAGTTTCAAGTTTGGGGAGTGGCGGTGATCATGTGATGGACGCGATTTCCCAATGTGAGCAATATGCGAAAGAACAAGGAGCACAAGAGAGAAATGCTCCATGGAGATTATTCTTTAGAAAGGAAATTTTTGCACCTTGGCACGAGCCAACCGAAGATCAGGTCGCAACTAACTTAATTTATCAACAAGTTGTTAGAGGCGTTAAATTTGGAGAATATCGTTGCGATAAGGAGGAGGATTTAGCTATGATTGCTGCACAACAGTACTACATCGAATATAGTTTAGATATGAATTCTGAACGTTTGCTAACATTATTACCAAATTACATTCCCGATTATTGTCTGACTGGTGTTGAAAAGGCAGTGGATCGTTGGGGAGCACTTGTGGTGCAAGCATACAAGAAAAGTTATTACCTAAAGGAAAAAGTTCAAAGCTTACGCGTTAAAGAAGACGTCGTCTCTTATGCAAAATTCAAATGGCCTTTACTTTTCTCGAGGTTTTACGAAGCGTACAGAAACTCCGGACCAAATCTGCCCAAAAATGATGTTATTATTGCTGTCAATTGGACTGGAGTGTATGTTGTTGATGATCAGGAACAAGTACTATTAGAATTGTCTTTCCCAGAAGTTACAACAGTTTCCAGTCAAAAAACAAATAAGGTTTTCACACAAACTTTCAGTTTAAGCACAGTTCGCGGTGAGGAATTTACTTTCCAGAGTCCGAACGCAGAAGATATCAGAGATTTAGTAGTGTATTTCTTAGAGGGCCTAAAGAAGAGATCCAAATTTGTAATTGCATTACAAGTAAGCATACATCTTCATTATGTTACAAATATTTTAATAAATAACTGTTTTAAAGGATTATAAAGCTCCTGGAGAAGGCTCTAGTTTCCTCACATTCATCAAGGGCGATCTGATTATTTTGGAAGAAGACAGCACAGGAGAAACGGTCCTAAACAGTGGCTGGTGTGTTGGTAGATGTGAACGCACCCAAGAAAAAGGCGATTTTCCCGCAGAAACTGTTTATGTTCTTCCGTGCATGTCGAAACCACCGGCCGACATTCTCCATCTTTTCTCCATTGAAGGTCAGTTTACAAACAATTTTATAATAAAATGAGAATATTGTGCCTTTATTTAAAAATATTTAATTTGAGTAGTTTAATTGTATTTACTTTATTTTTATAGATAATATAAACAATATAGACACAAAAATGCAATGTGCGTTGCTTCGAAAATCTCAAATAAAAATTTGGACATTTGTGGCTGAATTACTTTCTAGCGAATTTGACTTTTATGTTTTAGGACATATAAATTAGCATGCATGTACGTACGCTCATGTAGTAAAATTGCAATGAAAATTTTAAAAGTAATTGAATGGAAAGGTATTCTAGTCGCGCTATAAGGTTATTGTGTTATATCCTTGAATTTACTATTGAATACAAATACTTAAAATGCCAAAAGAAAGTAAACTCTGGCGATCCCCAATCAATAGAAACAGTGTTCTATAGACAGTGCTCATGCAAACTTCACTATACAAAAACAAAAGAAAACAAATATAAAATAATTATGTTTTTTAGCCAGTTCAGTAAGTGAATATATTATAAATTCATATTAATTCAATAATGCACAATAATATAAGTGAAAGTTAATATTAATGTTCATTATAAATATCACAGCATATAAACAAATAAAAATGAAAACATATTTAGAATCATAATCATTATAATAATAAAACTGTTACAAACGGACATTGAGCCATGGAACTTTCCGCCCTGTTAATATCAATTTTAAATTATTTGTTTTATCTGTATTTGTTAGATTTCCTAAACAACTATTCAAACTTACAAATACTCTTATTTACTAACTATTATCTAGTCAATGTGTCTCGTGTAACTAGAATATTATTTCGGAATCTTGTCAACTAAAGTCTCAGTGACACAAGATGTTACTGTTCATTTTCAAACTTCTACTACTTGTTTAATGAAATATGAAAAATATATATTACCTGCTTTTCGGACCATAAAAGTGTGTTCTTTGTAATTAGAAAATTTATATTTGGGACGCATCTTATAGTCCACAACGTGTTATCATTATTATATAGATTTAGTATATAACATATTTAATTTAATTTTGTTTTAAATTTATTTTAAATAATGTTAAGGGTCATCGACCTTTCGACTATTAATTTTATTAAAAATGTCTTCACATTTCCAAGGGTAATTTATCATGCTAATCACTTGCAAGTATTTCGTGATAGATATTGACGCAGCTGCTGAAGAGAAACTGGTTTGTACATTGAAACTTTATCTTGTCAATCTCTGAGTGAAGCATTAATTAATAAATAATCGAGTATGTTACCGACTGGATTTAAAAGTCGCCTGTACTAGAATTATTGCATGCACACAATTTGCATGGACGCTAAATGAGAGCGTGTACATACACGTGCCCGTCACTGTTTGCATAAACGTGCAATAACTGTCTTATTTGTAAATATTTAATTTGTTTTCATTGATTCTTTGATTGCAGGCGCTGAACACGGCAGGCGGCTTTCCCAGCAGTATTCCAATGGCACTGAGACCCGGGATCGTCCCCATACTTTGGTTGATTATTCAGTGGATCATTTTCGGCCCCCTCTTAAACGCACCATGTCGAAAGCCTTGACACTCACTTCTGCTCGCAGGAGCGGCATTGACGATCTCTGGAGGCATTCCCGTGATCCGATCAAACAACCCTTACTAAAAAAGTTATTAACTAAAGAGGAGCTAGCCGAGGAAGCGTGTTTCGCTTTCAACGCTATTTTGAAATACATGGGTGATCTACCATCGAAACGACCTAGAATGGGAAACGAATATACCGACCATATATTTGATGGTCCACTCAAACATGAAATTCTTAGAGACGAGATTTATTGTCAAGTTATGAAACAACTGACGGAAAATAGGAATAGGCTGTCGGAGGAAAGAGGATGGGAATTGATGTGGCTGGCTACAGGTTTATTTACTTGCTCTCAAAATCTCTTAAAAGAACTCACTATGTTTTTGAGATCACGAAGACATCCTATTTCGCAAGATTCGTTACAGCGACTACAAAAGACTCTAAGAAATGGCCAACGCAAGTACCCACCGCATCAAGTGGAAGTAGAGGCTATCCAACACAAAACCACTCAGATATTCCATAAAGTCTATTTTCCGGATGACACAGATGAAGCCTTCGAAGTAGATTCGAGCACCAGAGCAAAGGACTTCTGTCAAAATATCAGCACAAGACTTAATTTGAAAAGTAGTGAAGGTTTCAGTTTGTTTGTGAAGATAGCTGACAAAGTAATAATGCATTCTTCTAACATTAAACAAACTGAAAATTGCATTATCATCTATTATTTTTAGGTAATTTCCGTTCCTGAAGGAGACTTCTTTTTCGATTTTGTCCGACATTTGACAGATTGGATCCGCAAAGCTAGGCCAAGCCGCGATGGTGTAACACCACAATTCTCGTACCAAGTATTCTTCATGAAGAAACTGTGGACGAATACGGTTCCTGGTAAAGACAGGAACGCAGATCTTATATTCCACTTTCACCAAGAACTGCCAAAATTGATAAGAGGTTATCATAAATGCACCAAGGAGGAGGCTTCCAAATTGGCAGCGCTCGTTTACCGAGTGCGGTTTGGAGAAAGCAAACAAGAATTGCAGTCGATTCCGTAATTATAATAGCTTGTGCACATTCACAATGTATGTATTTATTGGAAACTTTTTAATTTCAGTCAGATGCTGCGTGAATTGATTCCGTCTGATTTAATTAAAATTCAAAGTGCCAATGATTGGAAGCGTTTGATAGTGGCTTCGTATAATCAAGATGCCGGTATGAATCCGGAAGACGCAAAGATTACTTTCCTTAAGATAGTTTATCGCTGGCCCACTTTTGGATCGGCATTTTTCGAAGTCAAACAAACGACGGATCCCAATTATCCGGAAATGTTATTGATTGCTATTAACAAACACGGGGTCAGTCTGATTCATCAACACACAAAGGTAAATTAAATTTGTATAATATTTTAATAATATTTACTGACATAAAGCTAAAGTGCTAATAAAAGATTTCGATACAATTAAAATAAAGAGAGTGATAACTATATTCATGTGCTATTAAGAAAATATCATTGAGTGTACTAAAGACAGTTCAATAATAGTTTAAAAAGAGTTTTATTGTTAAAAATATATCCATATACAATTTCGGACTGTACGACGACGAATGAGTGCAATGAAATAATCTATCAAATATATCAGAGGTTGTCAACAAGTAATGTGACACTAGTAAAACGAGATCACTTTTTAAGTAGAAAAATCGATATCAACAATAAACAAGTTGGCTACTCGTAAAACATACACTTTTTATTTTATTTATATTAAAAATATGACTTAGTTATCGTCTGTGACTTACCATCGATATAATTTATATATAGTTTTTAAACTTAATTGTTTATCATTTCAATCTAATATTTTAAACATTATTTTTATTTATAAATCTTTATTACATAAAATATTAATATTATAACATAAATACGAACAATTCAAACTGCGCGCAAATTGGAGAACTATCACTTTTGCGTTAGATTTTTATGTTTGAACAACAAACACATATTCGGATAATTAACACCCTCGATAGTAGTGATATAAAGTTTAAATCTCTTCTTAAATAGATGATCGGTAACGAACAATTCGGGTTGCAACATTATCTATAAAAGTTTTTTAGTGATGAGTTCAACCTATTTTTTTTAAAACATATAATCGTTATTTAAGCCCTTTGGTTACAATTGGTGACTAATAAAGATTTTTTATTATTATTATATTAGTTATTTAAACAAGAAACAATTAAAAATAAACAACATAATAACAATTGTACATAAGAAAATTTGATCATATGTTAGTACTATTAGTATAATATATTTGAATGCTTTGTTTATAAAATTTATAAGTAAAATTAACAATTTCAATAAATAATAGTAGATTCTTTTAATGCAATTAGATACAAATATTTTTTGTATATAATTAAAATTGGGTAAGAAGTTATCAAAAACGAATAGAGTAGCGCTTTGGTCTGCGTCTTCAACATTGCAAATAACTGATACAAATTTAAGGATTCGAGCAAATGCAAAACATTTAAAGCCAATAAGAGTGAATTTCGACATTACATAATTCCTAATTGATAAGTATCGTAATAGTAGAATGAATGGTCAATTATCATAAAACGCATTAAAAAAAATATTCACCGCAGCCTTTCCGGACATACCTCATTATTAAATAAATACAATCAAGCAATACTTTAAAAACACAATTTAAAGTACGTAAGTACGTACGTTTTAGATTATAATATACGTTATTTCGACGATTAAAACACAATTTAAAGTACGTACTTTTAGATTATAATATACGTATATTCAACGACTAATCCCTACGAAAATGTTTTTGTGCACAACTATCGTTTCGATCACATAAACGACATTCACACGAACGTACAATTTTCCGTCGGACCCCCATATGATAATTTTTAAGGACATCTGTGTACAACTTTATTTTAAACTGACTTAGGCATAACTATCCCTGTCTCAGAGGTCTTTAAATAACCATGTACGCAAATTATATTAACTAACACTATAATTACTATTTACTGTACGTGAAGCATTATTTACATTTTGCAAATTCTGATACTTTTTATGCAAATGTTTCCAATTAAATTTTAATTATATTATTATTTTTTATTATAGATTTTGAATCACCTTAATTAATAACAGTGTTAATATATACATATTCTATTCTAAAAAAATACAATTACAATGAATACATGCCTGTCGAAATATAGCTATAGCTTGTTGCAAAATGGGCACTGGGAAATGAACTTATGGAAATAACAGATAGTATTTTTTTCCTTAAGAAAAGAACAGAAAGTCAACATAAATAAACAGGTCTGAGATCGTGAAGACAATGGACAGAGTTTTCTCATGAAATTCCTTTGTGGTTTTTGATTATATGACTTCCTGTTATTATTTTCCCGTGCCGTAATTATTTCGCATGCCGTAACGCCAAACTAATGAAGTCTTGAATCGCATGTATCTAATATTTTTTTGCCATGTATTTCACGTAATATAAATCATACAAAAAAAATAAAATATCATCCATTACATTGAACATAATAATATATTCGAAGAGGTAATTATTTTTCTTTATTTTTAGGAGATCTTAGTTACACATCCATTCACGAGAATATCGAATTGGTCTTCAGGAAACACATATTTTCATATGACGATTGGAAACTTGGTTCGAGGTTCGAAACTTCTTTGCGAAACATCGCTGGGCTACAAAATGGACGATCTGCTGACCTCTTACATTTCCTTAATGCTGACGAATATGAACAAGCAGAGGAGTATTCGCATCAAATAATGACAATCCACATACTGGTTTTATTTTAATATTTATTATCTTACTTGGAAGGTAGTAGAGATCTGTTAATTATTAAAAGATTATAATATATTTATATAATGTATTTATATTTAAATTATATTCAAATATATGTTGTTACTCGAAATTATTTATTCTTTAAAAAAATGCTTCTTTTATAGATCAATATTGATGTAGCATATTTTGCGTTTGGAATATTAACACAATTGTAAATACATTTTTTTTTATATATGTTTTTTAATTGTTCATTGAGAAACAAATATGTTAATAATAGAAGGATGCTTTGGTTTTTCTATAAATAACTGTATATAAACATAAATGGTTACTTGTTTTTATTTCCTACTTATGATACTCTGTATTTTATGCTAGTTACTTAAAATGAAATATATCTATAAATGAAATGATTAATTTTTTTTATTACCTTTTATTATTCCCATCCCATTCCAACCAAGATAAAATAGAGACGATGAAAATAAATGGATTCGAAGAATAGAATCGTATGTTTTCGAAATGTTTCCAAATAATAACAGATAAAGACATACAAATTATTTAATTCAATAGCATCTCCAATAATTAATTGAAAAATTTGACAAATATTTTCAAAATAATGAACTTAAAAGCAGAAAATTGTAGATTCGAGATCCTCATTACAACTGAGATAATACTAATTCATCACCAACGATAACGCTTTGCATGCATTGATAACGGATTTAAGTTGGAATTCACTTTTCAAGAAAAACAAGTAGCGTAACTATACAATATTTATTTCCTTTTGCTTCCATATCTGAGCGACAATGGATGGTTTCATGTAAAATAACATTCATTCATAATATTGTTAAAAGCCTTTTATCCCATACATCGAGCTCCTTCGTGAGACCAACCTTATGCAAATGGGCAAATGGTTCCAAACTGTTTTCTAGCAATAAGTGCTCGTATGCCGGCCCAACATTTTATTTTCGAATTTAGTTGTAGTAGTAATATTTCATTTTATCTATCTATCTGCCTGCAAGTTTCTTATAAAATTTCTTATAAAAATAATTATTTTTTACGGTATTGAAAATTATTATCAGAAATGTCGTGATACAAATTTTACAAAAATCATGGAACTCTACTGTTATACCGGGATGACAAAGTATGGAAACCATTAGTCGTTTAGCTGCAGTAAATTTCATGGAAAGGCATTCAACAGTTAATATTCCATCTACTGAAAGTAGACAAACATGCCAAAGAATTTGCCTCAAATACTGTTCGTTTTGAAAAAAAAGAAAATATGTTACAACTTGGTCTCCCGAGTGTAAAATAGGACATTGTATAAAGCAATCTCCGGTACCGGTCCGTGAATCAAATGGTACCGGACCGCACAAACCCCCAGATGGAACCGTCTCGTTGCAAAGAAACAAGCTCATGGTTCTCATTGATTTAGCGTTCTAGTGAGTTAAAATGTTAAATGACGTTCCCCCTCAGCGGGCCCCGGTAAAATTATCAAATGTTGACCGGTCCGCAGCGATAAAAAGGTTGGGGAGCACTGGTATGGAAAAAAATTTACAAAATGTATCCCACAAGAATAAATTTTTAAAAACTTGAAAAATGTTCAAATTATTTATAATTCAGATTTAGTTTTTCAATTTGTCGTAAAATATGTTTTTGATGATAATATTGTAATAGTTCACAATATACATAAATATATAAAAAAACACATTTTTTTTTTCGCGTTTAAACCAGCCAGTTAAAAACGTGCCGTGATCGACTTTAGAGCATGAATTATGAAAACTATAAAAAATTGCAATCTTGGATACGATGCTGAAATAATATTTTGGAAATAAGACAAAAATAGCAACAGTAATGTTCTCACATTACGGGAGCAAATCAAGTCAATGTTACTACACAATTTGTAAAAATATAATAGTAAATAAATATATATGTTTTTCGATTTTATTCTCTCAATACCACGTTCAAAATTACATTTACATTTATGTAGTGAAAATCGCCTAATTATATTAAACATTAAATTTGAAATAATGGACAATTATTTTTAATATTATTTATGATCGTGGATAAACAGCTTAAATTTAAATCTTGATTAGTTCTGACATTCTTATACAGGTTTTCTGAGAGCTAGTATTAATTTTATTTAATAAATTAATAATAAAAATTATACTTAGTATACAAATTATAGGGCCAGTTACATTTACTTTAATTACATAGAATTTTCATTTAATGTTGGTTACATAATTCTGTTATTTATATTTAGAGTTGTTTTCTTTTCAATTTATTTATTATATTTATTTTGATTTTATATTACAATTTGTTTATTTATATTTTATAGTTTTTTATTTATTTTTTGATAAATAAGAAACAAAATGTATTGTTTTAAATTAATTAATAAATAAAAAAATAAATTTTGTTTGTATGTTGGTTATAAATCTTTCCGGCAAAATTGTTATAAAACTTATTTTTGTACAATTTATGCATTTTTCTCAAATAAAATAATCTACACACGTAATTCACTTAAACTTTCTAATAATTCTTTCTCTCTCCCCTAATTACACTGTGAAATTAAATAATTACCCTCGTTTGAAGTTCTCACACATAATAAAATTCAAATTATAATATACTCGCTGTTCTCACGACTCAGAATGAATGGACTAGAGGCAACAGCGAAATAATAAGAAAAATATTAAATCTGTGTGTTTCTTCTGTTGTTTACATCATCTATGGGAATTGGTTGTCCAACAATAAGGCTATTTTTAATAATTAGATCTCTCTGCTGCATATTTATAAGCAATGGGTCCTCATTCCCACAAGATCAGAGGCAACGCAGTTGAAATGATTACAGTGAGAAATTAGTATGGGAATAATAAGCAAAATAATTATTGTTTGCGCTTTCAAAGTGATAATGAAGTACCACTACCTTGTTTTCAAAGTAATTAATGTAAATATTATATTTGTAATAATGCTGTAAAATTGGGACCAACTGGGTAATTGAAACTATACTTATTTTTTGTTTGAAAATTCATATAATTATATATTATACATTCTCTTTGTAAATACAATATAATGTAAAAATTTGCGCACCGCGAAATTATAAACAGGTGTAGAAGAAATAAAAACATTTATTTGTAAGTGCGCGATGAGCTACAAAATTTGTTCGTTGTTGTCAATAAATACATACAAATAATAATAAAATTTAAAATAATAGCACAAATATTTATATATTTATATATAATACAATATAAAATCACTTGTTCATCAAATGTATTTCTCACAAAGAAAATTTATAATGTCGGAAAAATAAGATCACATTTTAATACACTATTTTTAAAATAAATAAAACATATATATATATGGAAAGAAAAAGGATGACAGTAAACATTATTAGTCAAGAAGTAACTTTGGTGCCTGGTGTGCTTTATGTAATTACCTGAATAAATTCTTTGATATTCTTTGAAATCGAACATGTTTAAACATCTTTGAGAATAAAAACGAAATACACTATACACCATCACTTCACAGCCTTCAACCACAAAGAAATAAAATTTTATCTGATATATGGCGTGAATTTGAGATTCTGCAATGTGGTTAAAAGTTTCTATAGTGCTCTATTTAAATGAAGGCAAATATGAATTTGTTCCAATTGCTTGGACAAGGATTCGTGGTGTCACTTGTCAGTGCATAGAGGACGTGTGGGAATTCCATGGTTGATCTGCTATTGCGGTATTAGGCCTCTGCGATCTCATGATTTCATCAGCGGGAGGACAGTGTGGCCGAGGTCCAGGTTCAGGGGTATAAGTAAAAGTCAATCCAGTAGCGTAAATTATACCATCATTCCGCACTAAGGAAACAGGCACTTGTGTGGGTTGACGTACCCACAGCCATTCGCCACGAAACTGCGAAATGTCGGGAACAACGCAAAGCATACTTTCTTGACATCGATACATCGTCTCTGCTTCTACATCTCCGAACCAAACTTGAAGTGATGGCGAAAAGTTGTCTCCTGTTAATTCGAGCATAGCCACATCGCCACCTCCATTCAAATGGAGGCTGTGGACTAAAGGCACAGGTGTAACTGGAGATCGAACCGGTCCCATACCCTCGTAGAATTGATACTCAGCTTTATCAGTAGAGATAATTGTCCAGCAAGCGCCATCATTTATCATTTCTTTACTAGGATCTTTTGGGCAAGGAGTAGCTTGAAACTGAATAATTCGTTCTTGTGATAAACACAAGTACATCCTATCAGTGTCTTTCATGTAAAAGGCACATTTGTGTAATTGGGAAACAGGATCATCTGCTTCTAATAATGCTTGTTGTTTATCCACCTAAAACAAAGAAAATACTTGATTATAATATATTTAATTCAACGTTTTTATATTATTTTTAACTACATAAAATAATTCATTTTTATCTTATTGAAATTGCAGCTAACCTTTCTTATTATGAGCCGGGGTAGTGCCATGCCAGTGACTGAGCAAACTAATTTTACTGTTGATCCATAATGTATGTATCCATCACGAACTTGAAATTCCTCACTCTCAGATTCATTATCATCTAGTAAATGAATTGTAAATGCACCCCATTGAGTGGAACTAGCATGGAAGTGACCATTCTCTACATGCAAATATCGAGTGCTCACTGTTTGTGATCGCAACCTATTGAATAATGCCACTTTAGTCCCACTAGCTATACACAAATCTGCATTTTTTAAAGATTGTTTCTTCTTGGATGGTTTTGAAATCACTTTAATACGTTTACTATGAAAAACACCAATGTCATGGCCAGAACCATAGAACATTTTCACTGATAACATAAAATGTTTTCTCTTATCTGAGTCAGATATGTATAAAGTTTTTGCTGCACAATACTGCTTGCCATTATTTAAATCAAGCTGCTGCATATCTTGGTCTGAGTTTCCTATTCCTATAAATGCACATAGTTGTGAGGCCTGCTCTGTTTCTCCTTCCCGTAACATTTGTTCCTGTCTAAGCCTCCATCCATCTCCAAATAAATATATACATGGTGGAGGGCAGAAAAATCTTTTCTCATTTCCATATGACTTCTGAGCTACTTTAGCATGTAAAATAACAATGACCATATCAGATCTGTCTCTGAGGTATCTTTCCATTGCTTCCCTTGTGAGTCTCCTATCCTCTCCCCGATAACCCCCTGGAACAACAGCACCAGAGAAGCGAGGGTACATACCCCCATGTTGAGGTGGTGGAGTTGGAGGAGATTGAGCATGGGCTATGCCAGGCAGTCCATACTGCAAAGGCATCTTGATGTGTATTATAATTTGACGAATTCTTCAATCAGAAACTTATCTGCCGCATTTGTTTATATCACCCAAACAAACTTGTTGGAGCACTTTTGAAAATCCGAACTTCGGTTTGTTCTCATGATGCTTTCTGTTTGAAATGTACGTCGTTTTGCACTGGAGTGGATGGAGTGTTTTGTTGTGTGTACTTTAAAGGTCGGCTCTGCGGATTGAATGAATGGTGTAGTGATGCTACCAAGATACGTGAGAATAACCGACCGACGACTCCCCACTTTATACACCAAACATCGTTGCTACCTCATTCCAATCTAAAAACACCTGTTTATAATATGAATTTTCCGACAGTACCGCCAACTTGACGAAAATTCCCACTACCGCCGCCGCAGCTTGCGGTTCCCACGATACTTTCGTTTTATTTTTATTCCTACAACTCGAAACTCAATTAATTTATCTTATTATTACTTGGAATATGAGCATAAAACAAAAGAACTAAATCTTATTTTATTTAATAATACTCTTAAAGCGTGTGAATCTTTCAATTCTTTATTTTCGTTTCTGTGCCGTTTTACTTTTCATATAATATTTCTTATTGTTTATTATATTCCAATATGGAAAAGTTATAGGTCGATTACCATTTGGCCAGATGTTATTTATTTATATTTGTGTGTGTTTATAATTTTATAATTCTTCCCTTCTAGAAGAGCCTCATGCGTCAATTACATTCACAACAATGTTTTTTGTTATATTTCATGGGCAATCAGTTGTTATTATTAATAAGAATGAATAAAAAAAATCAACGTAAATTAAACATGAAGTGCAATAAATTTGAAAATAGAAGAATACAATTCTTAGCGAGCACACTGTGTGACAGTGTCAATAAAGCAATTTATTATTAAGTGATGTACATGAGTGCGACTGAATAAGAAGACATAAAACCTTTAGTATATGGTGGCACCAGCTATACTAACGCTACTGAATAAGTGATGTAGAATATTTCCTCTCCTAAGGTATTATAATAAGAAATACACTATTTTTTATTTATTTCTAGAATGATGCATATAGAGAGTAGTAAATTGAGCTGTACATTTAAAAGTTTACATTTCTATATTTGTCGATTACTTGAATATAAATTGCTTTAAAAACTGTTTTTCATATTATTTAACATTTTTTTTTCAGCAATATCGTTTAAATTTTTCGGTATTGTTGTATCTCAGGGATGGAATTCCGAACAGTTTTAGTAGAGTCTCAGTAGTTAAGAATTAATTTAATCCAACTGGTTTTATAACAACTTTATTTAGACTAATTCTAAAGATATATTCTTTATTGATTTTTGACGATTAAGCGTTCCCACGGGATTCGGCCTGGGTGGTTTTGTTAGTTCTATATCGAAATCCTCACAATCCAATTTTCGACATTCGAAATCATAAAAAATAATGTCGGGATTTTGATACTGTTCGGATTATGGTTGTCTGTATTTCGTATGTCGGGGATTTCGGTTGTCGGAATTTTGATTGCCACCGGGTTTGGTTTGCTACGCGTCCGGCTCAAATATCTTACATTTGTTTATATCAAAAAGTGTCGATTACGATTCTTCGTAGAAGTTTCTTATATGTTTATAAAAGTACTTCTATTCTGAGTATTCATAAAAGTATCTGCATTGTTCCGTATTGATGGAATTGCTTATTCCTTACATCACTTGTTTATATTAAAGTGTATCGATCCGACGTCTTCCTGGAGGTCTCTTATACAGAGTTTGTTTTTATACTATAATAATGGTTGGACACAATAGAATTTTCTTCACGATCATCCATGGTAATAAACGTATTATACTAATAAATTTCAGATTAAAACAACTTTTCACTCGCGAAATCTAACAATTAATAAATATTCCTAATATATTTTTCTGCGATCCATAATCTTAATTAGTTTTTTTTTAAATAGGCCTAATTCCTTTTTAAAATAATTAGTTTAAAAAACATAGACTTCCCGTTATTAACTTTCTAAAATATTTGTCATGTTAAGATATTATCTTTGACATAAGAAGGACAATTATTTGATTATAATATTATTATTTATCAAATATTTCAATTGCTGTGATTCATGGATATCTTATTGATTTTATCCAAATATCATATAATGTTATTATCCTATCAGCCAATTAAATGTTGTTATCTTCAAAAGTTATTTTAATTGTAAATTCTTGAAAATATGATTATTTTTGTCTAAGATATAAGTTTATATTTATAGAATGAATAAACTGCGATGAAATGAAAACAATATTTATTTTGTACAAATAATCGAAAACCATTGATTTTATTGTTATTATTAAAACAAAAATAACAAACTAATTTTTATCATGTTTGTCGGCTGACTACCCAAGTCAAATTCTTATTATCATTAGAAGATTAATTTCTTCTTTTCAAGCTTTTTTTCTATTTACAATGTGGTGTAATTCTCATTACACTTGCGCATATTTAAACATTATTATCAAAATTTAATATTGTAAAATTTAAATATAATTAAATGAATAAACGTAATTGATAAATTATTTGTGAATACTGGAAACGTATTGAATTGCAATAACAGTAAATGAATATTTTGGTATAATATAGGAGTGGGAGAACTCTGCTTCAGTTTAACTCTCGAATGAGTATCCTATTGTGATACTGCTCGTGAATGTGTATGTACACGATGTGCACAAGTGTGTGAGTTTGTGTGTTTGAGCCCCGCGCGTCCTTCTCTCGTAGATGTAACCAGAAGGATGTTTGGGGTTATAGTCAGGGCGTGGGAAAATGATGGTGTGGGAAAGAGTGGGTGGCCTTTAAAACATTTGATACAACCGGAGCGAGTGTAATTTAGATCATACACACTAGCATTCACACACACACTCATACATCCAAATATATATATATATATGTATAAATACGCGTTTGTTCGCATTCAGTTTCCCTTTTCATCATCATTAACGGATCCATTTCCATCTCGCTCTATGACAGTCGGCCGCTCGACCATTCCGAATTCAGCATGGTAGTGTGGTGAGGAGTGGCACGGTGTGGTGAGGAGAGGAGCGGATGATATCGTGGGAATTTACACACTCGCGTCGAGACGGCGTCGAATTGGACGCGCGCGGTCTGCCGCGGCCCATAAGAATTCCCTCCTCTGCCCTGACTTCACACGCGGCCTATCGAGATTTCCCTGAGATCACCTGAGATTCAGGTGGTTTTGAGTATATTCCCATGACGTCTTCCTAGCGTGCAATCACCACCTCGATCTCCACTGATTTATGCGCAAATACATACATTTATTTATAATGCCGCTTCAATCTACCAAACTGAACATGTACATTATCATTCTCACATGCATTTACACCCAATAAACAATCATACAAATTATGCAAAACGATAAGCTAACTACACAAAATTGACGGGGTTGGTAATTATAAAGATTATTCTGGTATTTCTATTTTCATAGAGCGAGCAAAGTCACTTAGGAGCATTCAATATTTACGTCACACAACTAATATGTTTGCATATCAAATGCGGAATGTAAAATAAATTTTCGCTATAAGCGATCCAAATAGAATAAATTTTCTCCAATGACTGGTTTATAAAATATGGTAAACTATAACTAATAATGGTAATTTGTAAGAGGTAGGAAAAGGCGAAAATTCACCCTAGTTTAAATGAAGAATCAAGAGTTTACAGTGTTCCATACGCATTCACGAATACAAATATTCATTAGCGGAGATACTCAGGTATTATAATTCGTATTCCTTTTGAAATACAGTGAAACCTCGCTTAACGAGCATAATTCGATCCAAAATTTGCGGATTTTTACTTATAACAATTATAACAATTTTCCGCTTATAAACTAATGTAATTTACGATAATGCGTTACATTTTGAAGTTATTTCTCTTACAATTTATTTTGCTCCTTAAGCGAAATGCTAGTTAAGCGAGGTTCCACTGTACTAACTTTACTCTCCAATATTTTCGAAGAAACTACACAAGAAAGTGTGTCTTATAATTAGGGCTTCCATTACCGGTAAACGGATAACCGGTTTTCCCGACCATTAAATTTTGTCAACAAATACCGGTAATTTCATAAATAAAATATAGAAAAACCTTACTGATTTAAATATTGAAATTTCATTTTTCTGGATGTGAAATTAATATTTTTAACACGTTGATATCTACATTGCTACCTATAAAATTGGCTGTAGATATTTTAGGTGTTCTTGCTTGTATAGGCCGATATTACCCAAAAATGTATGATTGATAAATTGTCTGCCTAAAATACTACTCGAACCAGAGATTGTCTGATTTGGTACAACTGTTGTTGAAGCAATGCATCTGATAATGAAAGAGAGATTACATTTGGCTAACATCTCAAATTTAACAAAACTTATTAATCAAGTAATAGATGCTAATAGATGAAAATCTTCCAGTGAAACCCACGAGCGTCAAAGTTGAAAGAGCCTTTTCTTCTGCAGGTGCAATATGTACAAATCGAACAAGTCTGAAAGATAAGACATTAAAAACGATTTTTCTATATGAAAATATTAAACAAAAATATCTTGCATTAATAAGTTACTGTTTAGGGCAGAAATAACTATTTTGTTTTATTTTTATTATTGTATTAAGTTTTTTTTTTAACTTTGTAATTTATTGTTGAAATAAAAATTATTATTATGTTATTGTTATTTAACTATTTACACATTACTATCGGTAAATTTTAACCGGTTTTAACTTTAAATATTTAATATTTCAGAGAGATTTGGTACCTCTAGTTTTAAAAATAAACAATCTAAAAATATTTATAAATATTTTTATAAATTTTCTATGGAATTTTTGTTTTATTATAATTGTTGTAAATGAAAATGTTTTGTTTTTACTGTTGCAATAAAGATAATAATTAATATTATAAAATAAATATGGATGGCCTTAGCAATGTTTGGTCGATCTAGAACATATTGAAAAACTATTTATTTCGAATGTAAATCGAGACAAAAATACTTATACAGTGGAACCTCGCTTAACCTCTTAATTTGTAAGAAAAATGACTCGCTTAGCGAGCTACGTTTCGCATAACGAGTGACGAGAAAAAGAAAAGTCCCGGATTGTGCGCCTGCTATATCATTTTGAAAACTTGTGTACACATATTCATGCATTTTTTTAAATATATTAAACATCTAAGATTTTTTGTCATCTTTGTTTATAGCGGACTGTACTTTGCAAATATAATTTGTGTTTGGTGAAAAAGCACAAAGACCCCAAATCGACACAATTATAAACAAATGGAGTCAGACTCACTTCATTATGCATTAGTTTATATTTACACTATACGTGTAAATATCCGGAAATTCTGGAACGGATAATACTCGTTAAGCGAGGTTCCACTGAATTTAATAGATCATGTAGATCGTGATAAGAAAAATGTCGCTCCTGCTATATTTGGTACAGGAGAATAATATTAAATATGAAAAACGAAAAATAGTTAACTTAGAATCTAAGCCTTAGATCAACGCGCAGTGTTTCCTTCTAGGGGGTAGCTTTTTCTCTTAAGAGATATTCTGATCTTAAATATACATTTTCCAATTTATATAGTTTTATTTAAAAAATAATACTATGTGCAAAAAGTGTAGTAAATTTTAGCTTAATTATGATTATCGCGTACAATTATGGAGGTTGTCGCCGTAACACCTAGCTTTCTTTGTTTTTATGTTTGAAACACTTATACAAATTTAGTTTTATTTTTCGTATTATGTTATTTTGTTAAGTTTGTATTATGTAATACGTATTAAATATTGTTATTTATTATTACTAAGTAATTTCTTTCTTTTGAAAGCTTTTGCAATTCGATTTATGATTTTATTCATACAAACATACATTTGTATCTACAAATATTTTTATACATGATCATTAAGTTGCATACTTCCAATTTCAGAAATAATTAACAAATTTGAATTTTACCGGGAATCTCTAACGTAACTAGGAGAGTCGACAGCGCCAGAAAGAAATAGTGCAACGCGCATTAAACATATATAAGAGAGAAAGAAACTCAGCACGGTAGGCAATTTTATGATCTTGTCTTCTAATCTTATTGGTCGATGAAGAAATGACTGGCCTGACACGCTGGTAAAAAACTGAACTAAAAGTTTAGATGGTAGATGTAAGCACGTATATTCATTCCTTTAGAAACAGCGTCGTTGAAGTGGCGTGCCTGACGTATTTTAATATTATATTTTGTTAGTTATTACACTAATTGGAAATGGTAAGAATTTTTGAGAAAATTAGTACATATTTTCAGTAAATGCATACATACAATAGGTATGCTTTAATATTTTTATTTGTACATAACCTATAGAGCACGTGGTTATGTGAAATTTTTCTGATGATACCTGGTCCGTGTTTATGAATACTCTTGATTATAACCGTACCTTTACTGAAATATTTATACTAAACTAAAATATGCTGTATTTAAAGCAACACTTTATTAAAATTCATTTTATTGCAGGATTCCACCAATTCGCAAGCTTTTTGGGAAGGTGACCTGCACCCAAGCTGATTTATTCCTAATGTAAGTATTTGTTAAATTAAAATTAGAAACGTGTTAAATTTCATGATGATTTGCTTTGGTCCGTGTTTCTGAATATTCCTGATTATAATTATTTACCAAGCACTGATTTTTATTTTCTTAATAATTTTTAATGAAAAGTAAAATATATATTTTAATTATGTAATTATCAAATGTTGCAGACCTGAACTAGATGAAAGCATTGCCCAATTATATAAACTATGGTAGCAATTTCTCGATTTCATTGATGCTGAAACAACAAAAGTTATGGTAAGAATTTAATGTTTTATAATATATAATTTAGCAACTTTATTATATGATGATATCTCTTTAGAGCACTGGGTTATGATTAACCATGATTACTTGTTGACACCTGACTGCAAAGACTGTATTATTAAATGAAACTTTATTAATGCAATGTTTAATATTAGTATTTTTATTTTTCAGGATCCATTTGTTCCAACTACCAACAATGAAGAAACATGATTGACCTGGATTGATTGTATTTTACAATAATTTGTTCCAGCAATAAAGTTATTTGTTGGACAGAAAAACCTAGAATGATAACCCGAATTTGGGCCTATACAAATTTGTAAATAAATAAATTTATTTTATTTTCATATTCTTTGTTTTATTTGTTTGTCTTCCAAAATAAATTTAAGGATGTATAGTAAAAATGTCAATTATAAATTCAACCAATTTAATTCGCTTCAGTTTTGCTTTTTCATGTATAATTTAAAGAATAACTTTTGTAAAGCAGTGGATATTTTTTTATATGAAGCATCACTGATGTCAGCGGCTTGAGGCTCAACTCGCATATGTATTTTGAGGCTATATAGTGCTACATGCGGAATAAGAATAATTTGCAGCCATATACACTAGTATTTGTATTGTAAAAATACAAACAATTTATTTGGTTATTCTCATATTAAATATCTCATTTGCTCATTTTTGGAAGGCAACGTCTTGTGTTTTAAAATTGGCTCAGTTCCAAAAAGTATTTTAGGGATATTTTATACTTATTAAAGCCTTAAATGAATTCATTTAAGGCTTCAAATAATGTTTATCATCATACAAGGTCGAGGAAAATAATCAATAGTTATGCTTACATTCATTTTTTAAGAGTTTGAGAAAGAAAAACCGAAGGAGTATTGAGGATGCACTTAACATTTTATAATTTATAAAAAAATATGTGGAGGAGTTTCCAGACGGACGCTCATTATTGGAAGAAGAAGAAAGAAAATAAATCTGGTTGCTTGAGCCTCAAAAATCCGATACGAAGAGACGATTTCCAATCTCATACCCTAATAAACCCATAATTTTGTATGCAGTACTAGTGCCGCAATGATTAAAACGCATAATTAAATATCTATAAGGATATAAGTTTTGTTTTAAATATGCATTTCTATGGACTTGTATTAAATCTTGATATAAACGTCAGTTAATGTATTATTTCCTTTTGATTAATATGATTAATGTTTCTTTTTAAATTGTAGAAAATAAGTCTTATCTCATAGAAATAAAAAATTAATAATTCCCTACTTTTGAAAAAATTATATATTTTTATAACCTGTTAAATTGACTTATTCTTCCCAAATTGCATGTAATTTTAATTGATTAAAATCGATGTAGATCCCACCAGAGCACCAGAACACACTAAATTCTTAATAATGAATATTGACATAACAATATTTTTAAAGTTTTAAAAAAGTTATTGTTAATGTAATATGGTATGTTGGTGACCTATGCTCTAATTATTTTTAGTTATTTTTTTAAATAGCTATATTAAAAAAATAAATTGAAATAATATAAATATAATTGTTATAAATTATATATTATTTATGTATGTACTTAAAAATATTAAGAATAATGGAAATTTTTATTATTACGTTTATATTTTAAATTTGGCGCCGCGATCGTAGCGACAGGAAACTCAAACAGTATCCCCCTAGTTGATATACCTGAAATTACTGTTCGTCCACTTCCTTTTATATGGCGGACGTAGAGTTCGCTTGATGTGTTTGTGTAAGGAATACTAGTTTAAGGAAATAAGAGAAAATGGTAAGTGCATTTAAAGTGATTTTACCAGTTATTATGCTAAAATGAATATAGAAACGGATTAATTTACTGAAAAATACGTATATTAAAAAAAATATAATGAAAATGTGACTTTCTTGTTTGGGGCCACGTGTTTTGGAGTCCTGAACGCCGACATTAATATTAACATAACATATGCATTTTTTATTTTGCGTTTTACTTTAGTTGTGGAAATGTTATTACAATTTTACTTTGTTATTTATCGATATTTTATCGAGCAAAATAATTCAATTCAAACTCGATATAATTTATGAATGTGCGCACACTAGATGGATGTAAATAAGAAATATCTTTAGAATAAACTGTATAACTTGTTTTAGTAAAAATATTTAATGATGATTTTTTGGTCCGTGTTTATGATTAAATCAGGATTTTGATATACCAATAACTGATAATATTTACTTAATTATTTATTTTCTATTTGATGTAACATTTTTTCTAATTATTGTTTATTTTTGTTTAGTCACTATCAAGTGCTCGCCCTTTGGTGAGTGTATACGATGAGATGTCTTTGGTCATCAAGGATAAGACCATTGGTCTCCCTTGTGTATTCAAAGCTCCAATCAGACCTGATGTTGTGAACTTCGTTCATGACCAAATGTCAAAAAACAAACGCCAGGCTTATGCTGTCAGCGAGAAAGCAGGTAAATTGATATTTAAATTACAGGTTGTTTTTGTAACTTTACTTATTACTAAGTCCAAATTATACTTGTTTATAATATATATATATAGCCAGTGGCAATCGCAAGCCCGACAACCGAAATACCGTCTAACAAATTCCCAACTGTATCGAAATCACGAGAATCATAATCCCGACTATATCAAAAATGTCTTCAATAACATTTTTAAATTATTCCGGAGCGTAGTCACTTTTAAATTGTAAATAACAACAATTAATAATCTAATTGTATTTGAGAATATTTCATAATGTTAAGGTTTATTATGAATAATTCAACAAAATCAAATAAATTAATACAGTAAGGATTATGGTTGTCGAGATTTAGATATAGGCGGGATTTTGAACATCTGGATTTCGATACAATCGGGTTTGCGATATATACCCATAAATAACTATTAACGTTTATTTTTTTGTTTTTAGGTCATCAAACTTCTGCTGAATCTTGGGGTACTGGTCGCGCTGTTGCTCGTATTCCCCGTGTCCGTGGTGGTGGTACTCACCGTTCCGGCCAGGGTGCTTTCGGTAACATGTGCCGTGGAGGACGTATGTTTGCCCCAACCAAGACTTGGCGCCGTTGGCACCGCAGGATCAATCTAAAACAACGTCGTTCGGCTCTTGCATCCGCAATCGCCGCTAGCGGTGTCCCAGCCCTCGTAATGAGCAAGGGACATGCTATTGAACAGGTTCCAGAATTGCCTTTCGTTGTATCTGACAAAGTCCAAGAATTCACCAAGACTAAGCACGCTGTTGCTTTCTTGCGTCGCTGCAGAGCTTGGGCTGATATCAAGAAGGTATTTATATTGTGTAAAAAATAATCTTACATTTCTAATATTATTTTTGTTTAGGTATACAAATCCCAACGTATGCGCGCTGGTAAAGGAAAGATGCGTAACAGGCGTCGCATCATGCGTAAAGGACCTCTGATCATTTACCACAAGGATCAAGGCATCACTCGTGCCTTCAGGAACATCCCTGGTATCACCTTGGTTAGCATTACTAAGCTCAACTTGTTGCACATCGCTCCTGGTGGTCACGTTGGCCGTTTCATCATCTGGACCGAATCTGCCTTCTCAAAACTGAATGAAGTATTTGGCACCTGGAAGGCTTATTCCACTGAAAAGAAGGGATGGAAGCTTCCTCAACCGAAAATGGCAAACACTGACTTGGTCAGACTTCTTAAGGCTCCAGAAATTAAGAGAGTATTGCGCGACCCACAGAGGAAGGTTGTTCGTCGTGAGTTCAGATTCAACCCACTTACCAACGCTCGCGCCATGATGAAGCTTAATCCATATGCCGCCGTCACTAAGAGGGAATCGCTTTTGCTTGCGAAGAAACGCGCCCTTCTCAGGGAAGAAGCTTTGGCCAAGAAACGCGGAGTAAGTATTATTTTTATATATATATAACTTTTTATACATTTAAATGATGATATCTCTTTAGAGCACTGGGTTATGATTAACCATGATTACTTGTTGACAACTGATATAAAAGAAGTTAATATCAGATAATGTCGAATTAAAACATGTTACTAATTTATTTTATGTCCATAGATTACTCCAGTGATCAAGTCCGCTAAGATGCAAGAAAGGAGGAAGGCCCAAATTTTGAAGACTAAGAAGGCTAAGCCAGCAGCGAAGCCAAAGAAGGCCGCTCCAGCCAAGAAGTAATCTGTGAAATGCGGTTATAATTTTATTCAAATTACACCTGTGGTATCAGATTATGTTTGTATCAAATAAAAAACATTAAAAATCTCAATCATTATTTTATTTTTCAATACCTAAAAATTTGCTCTATGTAGGGTAATTTTTAATTTCAAAAATAATCTGTCGGTCGTTTGAATCTGAGAAGTATGCATTTTTTGTATTAGCATATGTAAACGTTAGAGAAAAGTAGTATTTTTAGTGACTAACTCTAGCCAATTTGGCATTATCTATAACTTAACAATTGTGTACCATGCTAAAGAGGTGAATTGTCTTGCTTTATGGTTAAAACATATAAAATACATCATTCAATGTTAAACATATATCTACGACGCATACGTCTTTCATTTTGTAATCTTTGGATGGTAATATACTTTGTATACATTGCACCAACATTATGCAATGCTTTTGCCACAAACATAATTTGTTCATTGAGTTTGTACTTTTCAGATCAATAAAAAGTTCACATTAGTGTAGTTAACTCAGTGGAACGAAATATGTTCAAATTAGTATTTCTCAATTATTTCATAAAATTTTACAAGTATAAGTTTGTTATATTCATACTAAGAATAGTAAACAATTAAATTAATTTCTAAACACAGGAAGTGGATGGAATTGAATCATTGCATGATTTTATCAATTGTTGAATATCGTATTGGATGCTATAGGTCCAAACTCCTTTAATTTTTAACATTTGTGTCTAAAACTTAGCGCTAAAATATATTAATCGGTATTATACAGCAGTGTTTCTCAAACTTTTTGGTCCGCGACCACTAAAATATTTAAAGGACCCTCGATGCAAAATGGGTATTAGGGGCGTAAAATTTCGAGCTATGTTTACACTAAATCTACAGACACTTCAGTTTTGTAATGATTTTATAAATAAAATAAGAACAATAATTTCAAAAGTATAATATTTTAAAACCCTAACTCCGTTTCTTTATAGTAATAAGTTTCAAAATTTGAAGAGTTTAATCAAATTTAATTGAATGTCTGGAAGAAGCAATGATTTTTTTACTCTATTACTCATTAACGTGTCATTTAGAAAAGTGTCATTTTTAGTTGCCTTTTGTATCGATTTTGTCCGGTCTTAATAAAATTAAAATCTAGTTACAGAGCAAGTTCCAATTTATGTTAAATAAAGTACTGAGATACAATACTTATTATAATATATTTTTTTGTATGTATTCCTCAGGTTTAACTAGAGTTGAACTAGAGACATCCGCGGCGTCTCTTAGTCGCATTATTATATAAACATATACATCAGCATAAAGGAATCTCTACCGTGATCCCAGTTCGATACACTGTAATATAAACAAAGGGAACCAAGCGTAAACATTCCCATCGATACTCCTATACATTTACTCCGAATTCAAGTCCTTATTATAAACACATAATAATCATTACACGTACAATCGTAATAAATCTCTTGTTTTCATATAAACAAATGCATAGGATTTAGTCCTGGTCTTATAATAAACAAAACCACCAAGGTCGATTCCCGTGGGAACGCTTAATTAGACGTATAACGTATTAATAAGAATTAAGACGAGCATAGTTTTAGTCAATCTTTTAAAGTATCTACATTATCTTGGAAAGTACCCCAAGAGTACCAATTATTATAATAAACTTGTTTAAAACCAATTGAATTATTTAATTCCTACAACTGAGACTCCACAACGACAACACCAGACAATATTCCACTGTGTTCAGAATTCAATCACTGGGACTCGACAAACTTATGTACATCAAAAATTACCGAGATTTTTTTACTGGTAAATATTTTAAGCATAAAACAGGTTGATTGAAAAAATGAAAATTTCGTGAGATAATGTTACTATTCATTAGCAAGCAATATTTTTGTATAAATTAAACAAAATAAATATTAATTTATTTCTTAATAAATAAAGCAAATATTATCATTTGAGACTATAATCAAATTAAATCATTGCAACGAATTGTAAAACAATTAAAATGAAAATATCCATTTATTACTTCATTTTATAAAGAAATTTGTAATTTTTTAAATATGTTATTTTAATGTTGGTATTTTTAAGACGATGACGTTCTTTCTTCTTACACTTATTATGGCACAATGTGACGAATGATAGAATAAACCATAAGTCACATCACAAATACTTCCACACTAATTTATGTCATAAACATAGTTTTAAGAATAGAATCAAGTTTGAAGGAGCTGGTATTTCCAGTCGTTTACACCTAAAAGAAATTCGATTCGAATAGTATACATGAATAATAACATTACAAATTAAATTACAAAAAAAAACTTAATTCAAATAAATATAAGCATTTTTCAATTTGCCTGAACCAGACCTTGTTTTAAATTTTGCATAATGTGTATTTTTAGAATTGATTCTCAAGAAACATAAACTTTATATAAATATTCCTAGCTCGAGCATGTAAACTATAAATCAACTACGCATAGTTGAATCGGTCTTGACATAAATACATGACTTTGAATTTATAAGTTTGATCAATACAGTGTAGTATAGAAGTGTAAAATGTTAATTCCCGAAACAATATCAAAAAATACAATGTCTACGTACACACCAATATTTTACAATAAACAAAACAACAAAATATTAAATGCACACGATTTTCATAAGTGGCATGAAAATACGCCAACTCGTTTAAACATACTTTGTTTAAAATGTCTGGCATCCAATTGGACAGGTAATACCAATAACAAAAAATAGCAATTCATTTTATATAATAAAACTCTACACAGATAATTCTATCATGGACGAATTGATATTGATAGAAGACCGAAGAATACTTATAGATTTATTGCCTACTACTCTTCCGCTTGAACTGGCCATACCAATAATAAACGACGATGTGTATTGGAAAAGATGTTTTAAGCGACGTTGGCCCAATCGGGTGCCTTCTATTAAGACATCTAAAAATGCGGATCGGATCGACGTTAATGAGAAACAGGAGGCGAATTCTGCATCGTCGGCGCATAATTGGAAACGAAACTTTATAGAAATGTTTTTGCAAGATCTTTTAGAAAATTTAAAACCAGAAGATTACGACCCGGAACAAGTTAATTGGCAGAAATCAGATTTCTTAAAAAAAAAACATTAATTACATTGTTTTTCTTCCAGATGCAAATCTTAATTGATCTATTTAGTGAATACGTATATAAATTAAAATTGAATCAAATGCAAGCACCACAATTACATCACGGAAATAATAATCGCATTACGTTGGAGGTTATTTTAAACAGTCTATTTAATTTGGCCGAATTATCAGTGTGTTTTAAACAAGTAAAATATAGTTGAATTCATTTATAGGTAATTTGAACTAAATTATTCATATTTTTTAGTCTTACGTGGGAGAAGCTTTTACATGGCGTGTGATGGAAACAACTATAGATGATATAAACAACTTTGCGAAGGGATTAGAAAATACAAATTTGTTATCTTTAAGGTACTCATAACAATATAATTATTATAAAGTTGTAGTTTAACTGAATTTGGTATTTAATTAAAAATATAATTTTATACAAATTAGAATGGACAATTTAATACAATTTTATGATAACGGATATTAATTAACGACATAATTAATAATTTTAGTGTAATCAATTCTGATGTAACTTGTGACAAAGCTGATATAATACTAAAAGGATTAGCGGCAAACAGAGAATTGAAGAAAATTGATTTTTCCCACTGTAAAATAGGCAAAAATGGAATCAAATCGATCGCTGACGTATTATTAGAAATACCATCTTTGGATGAATTAGTTCTACAGAATAATTTGATTGGTACGGCAATTATTTCTAGCTTAATATATGTGTAAACAGCGTACGTGTTGTTTTTCAGGGCCAGAAGGAATTGAAGTATTATTCATAGCTATTCGCCAACGTGGCTTGAAAAAATTAGATTTGGGTTTAAATAAGCTAGGAACTGAAGGTTGCGAGATACTAGCAAGAAATTTGATGGTCGAATCTTGTTACTTGGAAATATTGGGTCTGGCCGGCTGCGGATTAACAAAAAATCCGCTCTTCTGTGAAATGCTTGAAATAAATGTTGGTTTGAAGTATCTTGATTTAAGCAACAATAAATTAGGGGCGGTAATTATTTCATATTTATATGTAAAGATTATATTTTTAATTGCCTATTCAAAAATGATTGATTATTAAAATATCATATAAAGTGTGTCACATATTTTATCAAATTATTCTAACTAAATCGTTAATGAATTGCTAATATTTTCTGGGCCAATCCTTTATTCTGACGATGCATTATCGAGTAATTTATACTAAGTTTATAAAATCATAAATAATTAAAGACGGACGTACACGTGGTACAGGATTGCTAACATGTTTATGTTTTCATTTAACCTTTTCAAGCTAAAACAGGATTGATTAACTTGCGGTTAAAAGTAATTGGCCAGGAAAATAAAGAATATAAAATAGCTAATGTTATTTTACGCTATCAATAAGAATTCTGTGAAATATTGTTAAATGTCACGCGATGATTAACGTGTGTTTTTGGATATATATTTTTGTAATCTTTTTTATATTTTTGATATAGGAAATGGGGACAATGCTGCTGGCCAGTCTGCAATCGAATCGATTCCTCGAAAGATTGGATATTAGAATGTGCGGGATAACACCTCCGACGCTTCTCGCTATAGAAACAATTTTATCTCAATGCCGAAGAGAAAGAAGCACAAATAAATGCTAATTATGGTCTTCCTGGAAACGTAAATCGTATTGAACTCAAATTTGACCGAAGAACAATCGAATAGCGATTAAAATCATGTTTCGTAAAGGCAATTTTAGTTTTCGTACAGTGAACACGTTTCGTAATAATACAAATATACATAATTAAGCTTTAAATTGCTATTATTATAACTCGTCCGTTATTATTACTTTGCTATAATATAAGATCACACTATTACTTTGCATAAATTATGAACCAAGTTCATCATTGCCCACTAAGAACTTGTTTGTCTAGTTATGTTGTTGTGTTCTTATTAAATAAACAAAAACACACAAAAAATGGTTACGTATTTTGCTAAAACATCTGCGTTAAGTTTACGCATAATATAAGATATTGTGATTTGATATTTATTCTTAAACCCACGCAATCCTTTCGAAATAATCTTCTATAATATCATATTTTTTGAAGATTTGTTAATATTTTAAAAAATATAGTATATTATTTATTCATTTTTTTATTAACAAGATTCATAAATACTATTATAAATAAAATACATTTTATTATGCATAATTATAACTGTTATTTTCTAAAGTGATCTCATTATAATCGTCAATTAATTAAGATCGATGAGCGGATAGCAAAAAAAGATATTAACTGTAAAATTCACATTAGTAAAAATGCTGCGTATGGTAATTAATAATTATCATTTTTTGTTTATAAATAGAGTCAAATCAGTCCAAGTCGTGAGTCAAGATTGCGGGAAATCCAACGAATGCAAATGTTCGCGTCGCTTTTGAAGGTTGGATTCTCGTTAATAAAATTCTCTCGATCCGGGTTCGCTTTTCTGAAACCTCTTGATGTTGCGAGATCATACATGCGTCCCTCCTTCCACGCTTACCTTATATGACACGATTTGTAAGTCATAAAACTGGTGTATTTGTAATTCATTTACATACAAGGTCTTTTTCAATAATAAATATTGCAAAAAGCAGTTACGTGTTCGCTTGCACCTCTTATCTTTAAGCAGATTCAAAAGATGCAATTCACAATGAAAACTTGATTCTTTTTTTGTAATAAAAATTGAGATTGATGGAAATGTTGATTTGATTGATTTATGAATGGATCGTTTAGCACGTTATTGTCATGCAAACACAATACACACAATTATCGTTTTAAATAAATTTTATTGTTTTCCGCTGATAAATTGCATAAGATTATTTTAAACAAGTTGTTTCTAACGGAATTGTATGACTTAATATTCATCTTCATAAATTAAAACCATTATGTTTATTGTTTAATGATAATTAAGAAATTGTTCATAACAAAAGAAGGAAAAAACAACTGTGCAATTATGTAAACCACTATAATCAATATTTGATTAAAAATGACATCATCATTATTTTTATCAATTTTATCTTATGGCAATCGATATAAATTGTTAATTTTGACTCAAAGACTGGGGGTAAATTTGCATGAGACCTTTAAAGAAAATCAATAATCATGTTTGTATTATTTTTAAAACCCAATAAGCGCCAATTAGAAACGTAACCATTAAAACAAGAATTACATTATTATAAAATCTGATTAATGAAGTTTTTTTCTAAATATATGCATTTATAAAAAATATATTATACGTTGAAAGGTAGACAATCAATTGTAATAAAAATTATATATTCAAACGTTGTTTTTATTTATTCAAACAATTACTTTATCTGATCAAGACTACACGCTGCGCTCACGATTTTCTAATTGAATTTCCTCATGTGTAATAAATTGCGATCATTCAAAAGAATGAAATTTATTTTTATTTTGCATTGCTAATATGGTCAAAACAAAAAAAAAAAATTATGTATGCTTGTGGCGTTCGCTGTACCTTGTTATTTTGTGTCTTGTTAAATTTCAAGTTCAAGTTCATACCAACGATATTGGGAATAGCCCCGATGATACAAACAATCTATTAAATGCGGAAGATTCATAACGGATGTGGATCTAGCGGAGTGGTGGTACAAACGGTGGATTTTTTCTTATTTGAATGTCTCCACTTAATAGGAGATTCATATAAATAGAAGGTGGTACCGGTTTCAGATTCAGTTCCTCGCAAACATTCTACCGAGTGCTTATATTAATACCAATACTTTTGCATTGGATGACCATGGAATACAAAGTTATTAGTTGCTGTTACCTGCTATTATTATATACGCATTCATGTAAGAATTTTTATTGTAGAAATTTTCGTTAGGTACGATTTTTAAATTTGATCTTTAATTATAGCTCTTCAACATGGACACGGTATTCATGGATCATCTAGCTTCAGTCAATCTGCATCGTCATGTAAGAATACAATATTCGTTCACTTTTAATAATATAATAATATTTTGTTATTGTGTAGCTTATAGTAGTTCAGGTTCTTCGTCATTCTCCAGTTATGGAAGCGGCGTTGAAGGTTTAAATGAAATTGCTAAAGGGCTCCTTAATAATGGTGGCAGTTTTGCGAATGCTGGAGCATCTGCCGGAGCACATTCTGGTACCTTAGGTGGATGCGCAACTTGTGGTAACAATGCCGGCGCCAACTCCGGGGCATCTTCTGGAGCAGGAGCCAACGGATGTTTGGGTGGATTATGTGGTTCGCCTGTTAAAGGGGGGAACGCAAACAAAGCAGGTGCTGCATCTGGAGCTTCAGCTTCTGGAAGCGGATGTTTGGGTGGATTATGCGGATCGGGTATTAAAGGAGGAACCTATGGAAATAATGCTTTGGCTGGAGCAGGAAGCAATGCCAATGCAGGAGCCTCTGGTAGCGGATGTTTGGGTGGAGCATGCGGATCGGGTATTAAAGGAGGAACCTATGGAAATAATGCTTTGGCTGGAACAGGAAGCAATGCCAATGCAGGAACACTTGGAAGCGGATGCTCTGGATCGTCATGTGGAACTGGTTCTAACGTAAAATATACCGGAACTTTCCCTGGTCCATCTGGTAGTATCTATGACAGTAAACCGGTTATTGGTTCTGGAGGAGGATATAAACCAGTTTCTAATGGTTGTAGTGGATTGGCCTGTGGATCCTTACCTGGACATGCCAGTGTTAGTACTGGATCATTCCCTGACGCATCTGGAAGTATCTATGACAGTAAACCAATTATTGGTTCTGGAGGATATAAACCAATTTCTAATGGATGTATTGGATCATCCTGTGGATCCTTACCAGGACATGTTGGTGTTGATGCTGGTGCTCATGGTTCTACTAGCGTTACTGCCGGAACTCAAAGCAATACAGCATACAGTCATGGAACAGGTTCATTGGTCGGTGTATTTCCACAAGGTAGCATTTACGATAGTAAACCTGCCCCAGCCTCAGGATCTCATAAAGCTCCTGAAGAAGGTTTACCCGCCGTAACAGGTACATCAGCAAATACATATCATTTTCCGGGACCTCAAGGAAGTATACATAGCAGTATCCCATCTTCAACAGCCCACAGCAATGCAGCAGCAACTGCTACAGCAGGAGCAACAGCTTCAGCAGCTGCCAATAATCACAAAAGCCCATCATCTTTCCCACAGAGCAAACAAACTTCCAGTTCTCTGCCAGCAGTAACTGGAACCTCCAGTGGAACTTACAATTTCCCAGGCCCACAAGGAAGTATACATAGTAGCAAACCCGCTTCATCCGTACCAATGCATCCAGTACAACAAAACACCGGTGTACCTAGTTCGTCAGTAAACTACCAACCCTCATATAATGCAGGAACACATGGTACTACAGGATCTGGAAGTTCGTTACCACCTGTGACCGGAGGTACATATAATTTGCCAGGGTCACAAGGTAGCATACATAGCAGCAAACCAACTGGTTCAGGATCTTCTCCATGTGGTTTAAATAATGCTGGACCAGGTTGCAATTCTGGTATATACCAACAGGGTAATAAACCATCCTACAGCTCAGGTTCTCATGGTGCTTCAGGAGCACAAGCTAACACGGGTTCATTACCACCTGTAACCGGAAGTACTTATAATTTGCCTGGACCACATGGTAGTATACATAGCAGCAAACCAGCTGGCTCAGGATCTTCTTCGTGCGGATTAAATAACGCAGGACCAGGTTGCAATTCTGGTATTTACCAACAAGGTAATAAACCATCCTATAGCTCAGGTTCTCATGGTGCTTCAGGAGCACAAGCTAACGCGGGTTCATTACCACCTGTTACCGGAGGTACTTATAATTTACCAGGATCACATGGCAGTATACATAGCAGCAAACCAGCTGGTTCAGGATCTTCTCCATGTGGATTAAGTAACGCTGGTCCTGGTTGCAGTTCCGGTTCTTCCCCACAGGAGAGCAAACCATCTTATAATACGGGTGCATACGGATCATCAGGAGCAAACGCAAATGCTGCAGCAAGTGCGGGAGCAGTTAGCGGAGGATCTGGAATACACTTTAGTGGTCCGTTCCTTGGTACACAAGGAAGCATCCATGATAGTACACCTGTAGCATCTGGTCATACAGTTCCAGTTGGTCCAAGTAAAACATGTGCGGGTGGTCTTAATTGCAATCAACCACAAGTTAGTAACTCTGACGTTTGCTCGCCTGGTACACCAGGATGTACTTCAACTGGTCAATTCATTTTCGGTCCAATTCCGACTAAACCATCTGGTGACTGCACAACTGCGGGCGGATGTTCGAGTTCCGATAAGAAACCAGGACAATCTAGCTATGGCCCTGCTCCTAGCGGAATTCCGGAAGGTTTTCCTACAGCTCCGGGATCCGAATATACAACAGGTTGCAAGGGAGGCAGTTGCAGTCTACCATCTGGCCCATCTTATGCAACTACTGCTGGAGGTCATTCAGATTCCAGTGGCTCCGGATATCAAGGAATTAATATACCATCAACAGAATTAGGGGCACCTGGTTATGGAGATAGCAAGGAATGTAATGGTCCAAATTGTAATACTGGTGTTAGTGGAGCCGGTTGTACCGGTGGAAATTGTAATTCTGGTACTCCTGGTACTGACGGTTCATTTGTCTACCCTGGTAGCGGATCAACCTCTTCGTCTGGTGCAGGTTCTCAGAACGGATGCAATGGCGGTAAATGCGGATCCACAGGTTGTACTTCAAGTGGATGTCAGACAGAAAGTGGATCTGGAACATATGGACATAATGCTGGTGTGGGAAGTGGATCTGGATCATATGGACATAATGCTGGTGGAGGAAGTGGATCTGGATCATATGGAAACAATGCAGGTGGAGAAAGTGGACACACTGTCATTATAGAAAAACCAGGGGACAAAAAGCCAATATCTTATGGAAATGGAGACTTTGTTTTCATCGATAAAGATAATAGTGGAGAAGGCGGATTAGGCCACTTTGGTCATGGTTCTAATGCTAACAGTGGTTCATATTCTGGAGTTAAAGGTGGTAGTCATGGAGGAACCTTTGGAAATGGCCAGGGATTAGGTCATTTTGGACATAATTCTAAAGCAAATGCTGGAGCAAATACAGGCATTAAAGGAAACTCTTATGGAGGTTTTGCCAATGCATTCTCTGGAAGTTTTGCTTCTAGTTCAGCAAATGCCAATGCTGGAGCACATGCCGGATCTGGTTCAGGAAGTAAGCATGTCATAAAGTATATAAATTTCGTATAAATTAATATTTGTTTCTTTATAGGCTATGCCAGTGCTTCCGCTTCAGCATCGGCCCATGCAGGACATTATTGATGTTCATAAAGAAACTTTTTTTAAAACGATCAATTGCTTTGTAATTTATTTATTTATGTTAAGTAACTATTGTCGTAAAGATATTGTTTATGTCTTGTAACATAAAAATAAGGCCATTTCTATTTAATTGTGATAATTTTTTAATAATTTTAAGTCTATAATAAAATGCTGCAACTTTTAAATCACATGATGCTTTTATATCTATAATAGAAAAATATGAATACATTTGTGTCTATTTATTGTAGACTATGTCAATATTATGCTAACTTCGAAATTGCTTTTTTTTTGTGGAAAATATTTAAAAATAAAAGTCTTGAAAAAAAAAATAATGAAAATAGTCTATTGCATTGTAGTTAGCTTATAATATATCTTTATTTAATCTTAATATGCTATCGTATGATTGAAACCATAGCATCAATTTATAATTTACGCAAATCAAGAACAAACACACTCCCATCAGAAGCACTTGCGCCAACTTTGTCACCCCTACTATTCCAACACACCTCAAAAATTCCACCTGTACCTTTGTAGCTGTGTACTAACTGTCCACTCTGTGTGGACCAAATATGTACACATTTGTCAAAACTTCCACTTGCTAAAAATTTTCCATCTGGACTGAAAGCAACAGAGTATACTGGTTCTGTGTGCTTAAGCAAAGTATGTATGCATGCGCCACGTTCCACATCCCATAGACGCACAGTTGAATCAAAACTGGCTGATGCCAATATCAAATTCATATTGGGGTTCTGTGTACCTGGACCTGTGGGAGACCACTTGATTGTGTAAATTTCTTTTGCATGAGCTTGCAAATCATGCACACAATTATCTTGCTTCATGGACCAAATTTTTAATGTCATGTCATCTGAGCAAGAAGCTAACAGAATACCTTGAGGATCCCATTTAATTGCATTTACCTCATTCTAAAACAAGGAATATTATTAAATTAAAATTATTAATATTTAAAAAAAAACTTGCAGTATGCCCCTGGAAGGACTTGATAGGTTTATCTACTGTCAATTTACAAACATGTATACACTGATCTGTAGAGCAACTAGCAAATGATGTATTTGTTTGCCAGTCAACATCCAAAGCTGGGGCAGAATGAAAACTAAACTGTTGTGTACATTGTCCACTTGCAGCATCCCATATTATGGTAGTTTTGTCAACCTAAAAAATCAAATAATTTTAAAATCTCTGCATACTTTTGCATAAAATAAAATTAACATACACCAGCAGATAAAATATAATTTCCCCTTTTGTTCCATTTTAACGCAAAAATAGGACCTTTATGTTGTCCTAGTGTGCTAGCCAAGCGACCATCAGTTGTCCAAATTCTTGCATAACCATCATAACTGCCTGTTGCTAACAAGGTTCCATCACACTATAAAAAAAAGCATAAAAAGAAATAAATATATAAATATTCTTATAACATACATTCCAATCCAAAGATGTAACATCTTTGTTACTAGGCACTTCTGTTCCACCCTTTTGAATGCAATGCCGTAGTACCAATTGGTTTGGAGTTGCATTGTTATCTGACATATCCCATATTCTTGCAGTACTGTCACCAGAACCACTTGCTAATAAATCTGTGGTTGGATTCCAAGCACAAATAAAGACTTCTGATTCATGCCCCCTTAAAACTGTAGCCTTTGAAGATGGTATTTCAATGGAATTATCCACTTCCATATTTTCATTCTTTGTTGATACAACAGCTTCTTCTCCATTTGTATCAGTGATCTCTGTTCTAATAGCCTGCTTTTGTTGATTCTGTTGATTTTGTCTACTTGCCACAACATCTGGCATTACAGCATCTATTAAACTTAAACTCTCTACAAGTTTTTGCTCTGTACCATCTTCAGCTAAACTAATTTCAGCCTCAATATATTGTAACCCTTTCTGCAATATATTAAGTAATGCTGCTGGTGGTACGAGAGCTCCATTTATGTTGGATTGTGATATATGAGATTCTATACCGAATGTATATGCAGAATGTTGAAAACCTAAAATCATATTTTATTCATGTATTTAAAAAAATGAATAATTTATAAATTTACCTGACTCTTGCAAGTATCTGTAAACTAAAAAATTGACTTCATCACTTGAAAAACTCATGTTTAATTATGTAGTATTAAATATTAGTATTTTTTCGCTTAACAAAGTCATAAATAACACAAAACATTTGTATATTTTAGAAACTGATTATAGTTAACACGTTTCTAATTCGTCAATCGTAAATATTTATAAAAAGTAAACCGTGACGCCAAAATATTAACTAGAAGATAATAATTCCGCCATTGTCAATATCAGAAATACCAACCTATCACATAATTTTTTTTTTTAAGAATTATTAATGTATTTAGCCTCCTATTATAACACTAATTATAGTTTATACATTGTATATAGAATGTTAAAAATTAATCATTTAACTAATTTAAATAATATTAAACAATTGTTGAGATATTATTCAACAAGCATGAAAGTGCATGAAAGAAACAACTTCATGAGATACGTTTTGAACATTTCCTGTCATTTTGAAATATGTTTTCGTTTTATTCATAATTTTTTTATTGTGCTGGTTATTATTTCTTCATTCATTCGGTAAAACGCGACCGTTGTAATTTCTTCAAATATAACCACAATTGTATAAGTGTTTAATTTTAGATTTAAAAACGCATAATTATGTCGCAGTTACATAAATCCAATAACACTGGAAGACAAAGATTAATTAAGAAAGGGTGCACTGTTAATGAAATTAAGGGTGAATTAAGAAAGAAATTCCACACTAGAATCAAAGACATACGAAATCAACTTCTTGATTCACACAGAAATATAAATCAGAAGGAATTAATTGATAAAGGTTATAGTGAAATAAAGGACTTAATATTGTCAGATACCTGGAGTGACAATGAATTTGATGAAGCTGAAATCATAAAAGTATTAGATGAAGTTCAAGAGGAGATGGAAGAATATTTGAATCGAACTAGTGAGCAATATGATGAACAAGTTCAGAAAGAGACTGATGCTATAGTGGAAAATTTGTTTGCATGTCGAGTGTGTGAGAGGCTGCTTGATAACAATGCAACAGAAATTTGTACTGGTTGTTTGGAACAACATTTCAATGACTAATTATACTTCTTAGGATATACTTTTTTTGTTTTATATATTTTTAAGGAAGTTCTTTTTTTGTTGTTTAAACATGAGAATCTTATTTTAACAGGATTTTTTTAGACCATCCATTGCTGATTTTATTTATTGTTAACTGAAGTAAAATTAATTTGTTAAAAAACGCTACACATGGTTGTAGAAAAAAAAAACTAGATGTGATATTTGATTTGTTTGTAATAAATTTATGATATAAGATTAAATGCAGATTATTTTAACATTTTTCACTCGAGCGTCGAGTAAAATCCACGGTATCTTACCCAATCTTACCGACGAAGCAACACCTTACTTTTAACGTGGAAAGACAAAAGGACAGTCTTGTTTCAGTATTAGAGATGACACGGGAATGGAGACCGTGGATTGCTCGAGGTGGAGTGGAAATAATGGCCAAGAAACCGAACATTATATTGAATTACACAAAATATATTGTTTACTGCAAAAATCGTTCAAGTGGTGGCGTAAGCTTTTTTTTTTGTACATGGAAATTTGCCTCATCAATTCCTTTATATTGTATAAATTATAAAAAAAGAAAAGAGGGGAAAGGGAACAGTCATTTGCGATTTCTAAAAACGCTTGTGGAGCAATTGATAGGACCGAGCATCGTGATCAAGAGTCGACGTCGGTCACCGATGAACCCCGACTAAACGGATAACTCCATATGCTAAAAGGGACTACAAGGTTTGCTCTGACCATAACAAGCCTGGCGGTACACGAGAAATTTCTTATTATTGTGATAAGTATTCTGACAAACCGAAGATGTTTTTTTTTTATTGTTTCACTAAATATCATACAAAAATTAATTACAGGATGTAATATTTAACAGATTTTGTTGTATTCAATGAAAAATAAATAAATTGGTGAAATTTTATTATTTGTAATACATTCGATTTTAAAATAACTGTAAAACACTTCCCAAATATAGCTGAAATCGTCTTGAGTTGCTGGTTCGCCCGAGCGAAAAAGGCCTCGAGTGCAAAGGATTAATTTATTGTTTCCTAATATCATTATTGATTAAATTATCACTACTTCCCTCACAAAAGCTATGGTACTAAAACACAATTAAAACAATCGAAATATTGTACCTGCAAAGAGGAATTACATATATATATATGTGTCTAACTGTGCCGTTCTTTAGGGAGTCCCGGGGCATATGGAGCTAAAACTTCTACAAAACTAGCACCACTTCAAACTTTAACGTGTTAAAAAAATATGAAATTTTTAATAGATGTAGTTTTTTGTCATATTTATAAAATCGGTTCGCTGTTCACATTAGGAACTTGCTTTGGATTATATATTTAAAGGGTGTACCAACAAGAGTGGAAAATCTAAATTTTAAATAAAACACTTTTTTTTTCGTTAAAATAATAATTGCGTTCTTTTGACAAAATATGTAATGACGTTTTGTCATGGTTTGGGGCTGAATTTCAACGTCTAATCTCTAATATAAATTTGCATAGGTTTTATGAAGCCATACCTTGCTACTTAAGTCTTTGAGTGACCAGACATTTCTGTTCCCAACAAATTTCTAGACAACTGAATCAGTCAACTACATCAACTGAATCAACATCGGATGGTATGGCCTACCAAGATTAATCCTTTGACATACCAACCACATTAAATATAATTCCTCTTTCCTGGACATTTAATAAAAAAAATAATGTCCTACTAGGCATGTTCAAAAGCATGTTCTCAAGCGATTTAGATTCCCGAGATTTGAAGTTCCTCCACTGGGTAACAGCAAAGCAACAATCTTCCGGCGCAATAAGAGAAATGCTGAAATCATGTATAACAGTTGCATCGTGCATTAAAAAGTATCACCCTAATAAGGCACTTTTTCACCTAATTTTGAAGCGTCGGCAAAACAAAAGACTCTAAATAGCTTTCTAGTTAAAAAGAATTAGATATGTATGATAAATAATAAATGATTTTTTTCCTATAAATCGAATTCGCATTCCTGTTTTTTTCATTCCGAGATTGAAGAAAAGATGAAGATGATTAGCGTATATATAATTTTGTGTTAATAAACGTTACACATCATTTTTATTTGAATATTTTTTTCGGCAATAATTTTATGGAAAAAGTTGTTAGGCTTAAGGAGTGTTTTTCGTTACGAGTAAGATTCTGGCACTAATTACGCTAGGTTCCACTGCAGTTTACTAAATATTGACTTAGAAAACGTATAGTATCAATAATAGTTTATATTCGCAGGGACGGATCTAGGCATGGTATATATGGGGTGCAGCCCAGGGTCTCGTCAATTAAAGGAACAAAAAATGAACATAACTAGCTCAAACTTGGGTAAATTCGGAAGGCTCCGAAACAGTATTAGTCAGTGTCCCAAACAGTGTTAGTCGAGTACCCACAAACAGAGTTGGCTCAAGGCTTCCAAAATTAACGGTTCGCTCCTTAATATACAAGTTTAAGCACGGAATACAATTATACAATAAAACTAATTTAAACACATTTTCATTCACAATGTTTAAATTACAGTTTATTTAATTTAATAAGGTAGATTGGTTGATGTTGATAACCTTTTGGTTCTCATAACATCTGTTAATAACATATAAGATTACATATAGTTTTTTAAAAATACTACTTTTGAGGGTTATTTTAGTTCTGCATTTTTGTAGAAAAAAATAGAGATACTCGGGCAGAAAGACTTAGTCGATAGTCCTTTTGTCTAAATCAGTGTCAATAAAAATGTGTAAATAATGAGAGATACTTGGATACTTGTATAAAAGCAACTCTACATAAAAATTGACCATTCCAATTATAAAACATACTAATCTGTTTATTTAATGAGTAATTCATTTATTAATTTTATTTGTTTTTTGAAATGATTATCATTATTAACATCATATTTAGTTAGAATATAATGACTATCATAATTTAAATTAAAAATTAAGCAAACTTTATAAGATACAGACACACTTTATACTGGAATGTTGCCAATAAACAATATATATTTCTATGTAATCTATATTTAAACTGTAACCAAATTAAGGAAAAATAAAATACATTGGAAATACGCTACCAAAAATTTAGCTAATATTAATTCTTTCTTTATACTTTTATTTTCATTTTTTTAATACATTCAATGTGTTAGTAAATAGCGCCGTAAATATATATATATACAAATGGCTTAGGTCAATGCCCTTGCTGCTACACGTTGTTTATATACAGTACAGAACTCGCAAAGTTCTGTTAAACTAGGTGTACTGAAAAGTAGTGAAACAAGAGGAGAAACCATATACTTTTATATAATATGATAAGAATATGAAAATGTTGATAATTGTTTGTACTACAGAAGTGTATTTAGGTTATACTGGTGCATTATTTCTGTGCTCATGGGAATTAAAAACATTTTAAAAGTTCTGATCAGAAATAGATGCAAGATAAAAAGTTGTGTGAAAAGACGGCCAAAAAGATAAATGACTGCGGTTCCATCTGTCGGTAAATCGTGAAAGTGCATGCATGCAGCGTGTTTATAAATAAAGCGGTCAGGGTGCGGGGGCGGCGGAGCTGAGTCCCGGTGGTGGTGGCGGCGGCGGTCGGTCCCAAAACCGGGCTGCGAAAACGTGAGCCTAGAGGGGGCGAGGAATTAAAAATGTCGCTGCTGTAGAGGCATGGCGTCGGGCGGCAAGAGTAGTGATAGGATTTTGGGGACAATTTCTCCGGTCGAGGAGGAATCGTCGGAGAGCGAAGATGAACGGGAGCCGGCCAAATCCTACCACAGACGGTTATCGACGAATAAAGAAATCAAATGTTCGGTATGTCTGTTGTGTGAAGCCAAACAAAAGTATACAATATATTATTTATATACAAATATAAATTAATATAAATTAAAACATAAACAAAATATAAAAATAAAACCAATAAAATAAATATGGTAGAGTAGTAAATTTTTGTTAAAAAAAAAACATTTTGTTAATGACTTGTTGAATAAAGTGCATATCTCTTTTTGGCTAAATTTGTTTTATTTGCCTGGCTGTTGTTTGTTGTTGTTTATAGTCGTCAAGACTATTCCACTCCCTGCATGCATATTATTAAACACACCTATTATTATGTATTTTGTAATGTAATCTGTCGATGAAAGGCGTGGCCTAATTTGCTTAATTTTTCATTTCCTTCTATCTCTATTCAATCACCATTTGCTTACTATCTTTTTATTTGTATAAGAAGCATGTATATGCAATTAAAAGTCATTATGTATATTTAAGTCGGAAGCGGAGAATAAACATTTTTATGGCTTTTCCTCGCTTCTGAATAGCATTTTAACGTGGTATTTATTTAATACTACCACCGCCTATTGCAGATCGTTCAATCTTTACGTGCACTTCATTTATTTATAAGGAATAAAACAACATGTGAATATTGATTCGGTCTGCAAAATATAGCATCAGCAGGTGGTTGAAGTAAATTTGGTTGCCTACCAAGCGTATAAGAATGTAACTATTGCTTAATCGTGAAATATATTTTATCCTATAGACATCATTATAGGGGATCTAAATCGTCTTTGTCTTTATTTTTTATTCGCCCGAATACATTTGCCTTAATAAAAAAAATCAGTATTTTATTTATAGTTATCTGTATCACGAAAATCCGATTCGAAAAAGTTAGTTCCATCTTCAAAAACCAACAAAAATGTGTGGTTGCCGATAAACGCGAAAGGGAGTAGAAATATGGCCAAAGAGATTTATATCAATAATAATTTATATAAATTTATAAATATTTAAAAAAATCAACTAATTTTCATACATACGTTTGCTTGATTTGTGAAAGAGATTCTTTGATGAATACTCAAAGAATCTCTTTCACTGAATCGAAATGAATTTCTTCACTGTACCGAGCTCTGCTGTAACCTTCGACTAGGAGAGCATATTTCAGAAACACTGACTTTCAAACTGTTTTTTAGCTAATTGAATATTTGACCAACGGCACTTTAAAGTGGTGCCCGTGAGCACTTTAAAATTAGATTATTGGCACCATATTACCGACCCCTGCTGTTATACTAACTTTCATATTATTTTTTTCATATATTTGTTAAAGTATGTCTGTTTAGTACATTTTTAATAAACATGTGAAGATCTATACAAATAAACAATAAATTTCAATGGCCGATTATTTTCAACGAAAATAGCAAATTTTATTAAAATAAATATTAACTGATCTCGAGTACCGTTTAAAAAAACAAGACTTCACTTCATTTCACAAGACTAATTTGAAGTTCCTTTACTAATTATTAGTTTTAATTAATAAACTAGTTAAATTTAAACAGGTAATAGATAAAACAGGAAAAATTAATTTACATTTATTATCGTTACAAATACAGTAGAACCTCGCATAACGAGCAAAACAAATTGTAACAAAAAACGAGCGACGTTTCTGCGTTTCCAGCGTTTCTCAAAATTTTTGATCTGCAACTCCTTTTTGCAATTAAATTTTCTGCGACCCCCGAAGAATGGGTATGTGTAGAAAAATATCCCGGATTGATCTGTTCCCGACAATGCCTGTTATGATTTTATACTCTCGGGATTTTAATAATGTCAGAATGTTGATGCTATCGGGATTTTGATCAGTATCAGTATTTTATATTAATTTATCCAGGAACGGATTATGCTCATTAAGCAAGGTTCCACTGTAAGTGATTTTTGCGGCCACAGAAACATATATTGGAATAATGCCAACTTGTTGACCTTTAGCTTTTACTTTTCCGCAATCTTTTGTCGTGCACTTATGTTTATTCTATTATTTGTAGTTTAAACAGTTTCGAAAATAACTGGAAGTATTTACATTTATTATATTTTTTATTATGAAAATAAGAAAACAAATTTAAAACAATTATTACCTATTACCGCCTCCTTGCTGCAGCGCTGAATTTACATTAAGAAAGTATTTTCAATTTAATTGTTATATGTATTATTTTTAGGCTTCCCTGAAGGAAGGATTCCTCCTGAAACAAACTTGGTCTTTTCAGAGATGGAGGAGACGATACTTTAAGCTCAAAGGGCGAAAGCTTTATTACGCCAAAGATACCAAGGTAAGTGCATTTTTTTTTATTGTTTAGGATCAATATAAAGTGAATATATATAATTTGTGGGTTAACTGGTTGTTTGGTTCTTGCAAATATTATCTCGATCGTTGAACGACTTGGCGTGATGTTGATACTAACACTATTTCAATTAGAAGGTTTAACTCGCCAAACAAGAAATTAAGTTACAAGTCACAAGCGGTATAAACGTAGTAATCAATATAATATAAAATTGTCTATGTCAGCGGCATGTGTGTATTTCGGCTTATTTCTGTGGAATATAAAAACCTATTAGACATAGTTTATAACGAGTTTCAAATTGATCCAAATTGATTTTAATTTAATTACTGAGCTTAGGTGGGCCACACATATAAAATAAATGTAACCTTTTATTACCTTATAATTTAGTGTTACCTTTTATTACTAAACAAGCAGATTTGGCTCCCAATTTTTTTTTAAATTGTTGTAATGTTCATATTTGGCTCTTTGGCTAATAAATTTGCCGACCACTGGTCTGGGTAGATTCTTTTGATTTCAATTTTTTAGAAAGTAAAAACAGCATAAAATATTGAAAATGTCTCTTAAATCTCTGGTCTTTGTATTTTTTTAATTATGGACGAAAAAAACATTAATAATAGAGCTTCAAAACGAGGCAACCGGTGACAAAATTGTTTCAATAGCAACGCTACAAAAAAAAGACATTTATTTTTGCTTTACATAATAATATGTTTTGCTTTATATTATAATATGTTTTTATATTATGATTTTCGATATTTTCAAAATTTAATGCAAAATGATAATATTTTAAGAAAGATAATATTGACACGGAAACAAACAACTCTACATGGATCATTTGAAATAATTAAAAGAAGATATCAATGTTTGTTATACAATTTTGAAAATTTAGATATCCGGTCTTGGAGTCACAGCCGATATAGATCTCTCATTGCAAGAAGAATTGACTGAACTAAAGGAGAACTTGGAATTTAAAGTCAATTTTTAAACATGTGAATTTTCCAAATTTGGGAACTGCAAATACATTCGTTAAACATAGGTCGAATTGACAGATATCTCTGAATTCTTATTTTTAAATTATCCTAATTCTTACTTGTTATTACGAAAAACAAGAAATCTATTAAATATCTAATTGTTATGTTGCTGGATTGTTAATACCAACAGCAACTTGATTATTGGTAATATTTGTGCATTACAATATATAAAATTTATTTAGTGAAAAAAAAAATTATATGTTTATATATATTTCATTCATTTACGGGCGTGAAAGACGGTAAATTTATAAGATTTGTAATTCCTCTTTTCCTAGGATTAAAATCGAAAAATCTATGTGAAATGAAACATGTGCATGAATTAATGGATAATTAATTTTCCAAATGATTTTGTTTAAAAACATTGAAAAATTAGCGAATTGATATGCAAATGCAATTTGATCGTTAAATTTCGGTAAATATTTTAGAATAGAGTGGAAATACTTTGGTCGATAGCCCTTTGTTCAATTTTTTTCCCTTTAGAGTTTTTTTTTTTACCTACAACAAAATACAATTTAGACCGCACTATAATATTACGTTGTTTGAAATAAAATATATTTTGCTCTCAGTTGCGCACTAAAATATGATGTGTAACAGTTTGAGACTTTCGAAATAGCTTTTAACTAAATCCCATGGCAAAAGTCTAGACGTGATTAAAGCTCAGCTAAACACCGCAGGCCTTGACGGGTTATTTTTTTTCTAGCTTAGTTCACCGAAGTTTTAGCGGAAGGATATAGAGATAAAAAAGTAACACAGATCCTTTGTGAATCATTTTTGGGATTAATTATCATTTGTAAAGTGTTATACATTTATTATACAATTTATCATTTTATTATATATGTCGGAGCATCAAGATTAAAATCGAGCGGGGCAATACCCTCAAGAATATCCAAATACTATGGTTTACATTGCTACAAGGAATAATAAATAGTCTCGATAATATGACATAGTCAATAACCACCGCACAAACAGCAGCTGACTGCTGCATTACTTTGTCTTGCTTCCTTATTTCCTCAGAAGCGGAGAAGACACTATTTCGAGTATAAATATAAAGAGATGTATGTTTTAAATATTTTTTTATTTTAAATAATATTATTTTTTTAGGAATATAAGATTTCATAGTACGTTCTTTCTCAGAAGATTGAATAGATTTAACAACCAATTACGGGAAATGTATTAAATTTATTTCTATTATTCTAAATTAACAGTGTAACAGTATCTACCTTTAGCAGTATTCGTACGATATAGAACCGGAAGAGAGGATAATTATAAATTTGATTTTAAAGCACTTCACCTTTTACTTTGTGCACATAACAAACGCACACAAGCTCTTAAATCGATGGGTGAGCACTTAGACTCTACTCCGAGTCCCGCTTTTGATCCGGTCCCAACATATATTTTTAATTTTTAATGTAAATTCATACCTGACTAACAAAGACAATGACAATAAGGTAAGCTAACTCCAGGGAATGCTAATCCAGGTTTATTTAGTCTTGTGCAGGCAGGATAAAAATAGATCGAAAACATTTTTATGCGAAATCAAAATAACTTTGATGCATTTTTATGATTTTGTAACCTTGCTCCACTGACCAACAGAAATTATTATAACAAAAATGTAAACATTTTTCAAGGTCATTCAAATATATATGAATTAAATTATTTATATTCCTATTTTAACAAATTGAAGATTTATAAAGTGATAAATAACGTAATTATGATAATACAAAAAAATAATTTAACAAAATAATATTGTCGGTTTTGAAGAACTTCTGTCTATGCTATGATTTCTTCTTTTTGACATTTGATATATGTCACTTTTAGCTTGCTGTAGAAGCAAATTGTGAGTAATTTAGTTTGCAGCTGTTAGCTCAATTTTAACCGGAGTGTAAAAATGAACATTTTCGACATATTGATTGTTTAACAGATTGTAGGTGTCAGAATTGATTTAACAAAAATCGTTCTGAAGATTTTTCAATCAAAGATGACTAACGTTCTGGTCGACCTACTAAAGTTGATGATGACAAAATCAACGTAAAACTTTCACTAATTATGATGATCAGAAGTTTCATGAGCGCGGTATCGTGAAGTTACCAGAAAGATGGCAAAAGTTCATCTTGCTGATTCCAACCATTATTATTATAATTGTTATTATTAATATAGTGTATTAACGAACTAGAGACATCCACGGCGTCTCTTAGTCGCATTATTATATAAACATATACATAAGCATAATAGAACCTCCACCGTGATCCCAGTTCGATACACTTTAATATAAACAAAGGGGACCAAGCGTAAACATTTCCATCGATATAAACACATAATGTTACACGTACAATCGTAATCGATCATCTTTTTCATATAAACAAATGCATAGGATTTTGTCCTGGTCTTATAATAAACAAAATCACCAAGGCCGAATCCCGTGGGAACGCTTAATCATCAATATATACAAACCCTACTCCCGATCACAAGTCCTACCCCGTATTAATAAGAATTAACTTTGTAAGTAGAATAAGTATTTAGAATGAGTACAACCTTCAAAGTCTGATAGAGTCTCAGTAAAACGATGAGCATAGTCTCAGATAAATCTTAAATCGACCAAGTAACGAATAAAGTTATGTAAAACCAAACGAATTTCTTTAAATTCCCAACTATTGAGACTCCACAACGACAACACCAGACAATATTCCACTGTGTCTAGAATTCCAACCCTGGGACACGACAATCTAACCAAAATTAAATAACATGTATCTCTTCCTAATTAGAATTTATAATCTTTATATTGAAAATATAGATGTATAAACATGTTTCATCGTCAATAATCAGTTTGCAATGTTTAAAGCTTCGTAAGTTCTATAAAAAAAAATATAAAGCTCAATTACATAGGTGAAGGACACTTAATTTATGTTGACTTCAGCGAAAATATGTAAAATTTGGGAATTCCTAAAGTTATTCTTGTAGAAAGAAAAATACATTTATTATTTATGCTTGATGAATTATCGTTGGAAGCCGCCCTTTTTTTCAGACAATTCACGTGATTTGATTTACGTTCGCATATTAGATTATTAATCAGGCTTTAATTAAATTGGTCATAAATCATTCTTGCTACCCGTGCTAATATTTATCCGCTGATTTAATGCGTTAATAAAATGAATCGCAGCAGATTTCTATTGGAGGTGTCGTCTGGAAGAATTTGTAACATTGTAATCCGTGGAGTTTTAGTGTCAATTATTCTAAAGACGTGGTATTAGGAGTGGCGTGCCGTAACAATATAGCCTAGTCATTCCTACACGTATAATGACTTTTCCCCTGATACCTGAAACCGGAACATGACAAAGCATGTTTCCTTGGAAAAAACTCGAACGGAAATGACTTGTGTATTTGCAGAAAGAACATCCCACATATATTGGTATGAATGAAAAGAGTGGGTGAATTTTAGTTGGAATATTATAGAATCAATAATATGACGTAGTTTTACTTTACATATAAATGTTGTTACTAGAATTGTCTTGTAGTAAGTTCAATTTAGGAGGTGTATAATATGGTAATAGTGTTTCCAAAAATAAATTGCTTGTGATAAATATATTCTTTTTGTATAAAAAAATATTTTTTTCTTATCTATAATGATTTTTTTCTTAAAAATGTCAAAATCCATTATGTTTTAAGAAATAACGAAAAGTGATGCATATTTTAAATTAAAATATTTATTAATTAATTTGAATCTAGTGACTATGTATAATCTATTTTGATATTTATTATTTTAACATATATTTTATGGATATTTTAAATTTAAAGATCATGCGACACGAATGTTAATAAAGTTATAGAGCGAAAATGATTGGCAGTAAAAGTATGCAGCTATAAACGTAAGTGAAAGGACGCTGTATAATATTAATGTGTTTCTACTGAAAAAAGTTAACAACCAAATATTTAAAAATAGAGCTTCAATTGCCACCAATCACA